CTTTCTCCTGGTGGAAGGGGAAGTCCCACCATTTTCAGGCATTTAAGAGGAAGTCCATTTTTTTCCTGGTATAACAGGAAGTCCCGCTCCTTTAGATATCGGATAGGAAGTCCTATGTCTGACATAAACTAGGAAGACGTCTCACCTCTTTTCCTTGTATAACAGGAAGTCCTGCCCCTTTAGATATGGGATAGGAAATTCTATGTCTGACATAAGCTAGGGAGATGTCCCACCTCTTTTCTTTATATAACAGGAAGCCCCGCCCCTTTAGATATGGGATAGGAAGTCCTGTGTCTGACATAAACTAGGGAGATGTCCCACCTCTTTTCTTTATATAACAGGAAGTCCCGCCCCTTTAGATATGGGATAGGAAGTCCTGTGTCTGACATAAACTAGGGAGATGTCCCACCTCTTTTCTTTATATAACAGGAAGTCCCGCCCCTTTAGGTATGGGATAGGAAGTCCTGTGTCTGACATAAAATAGGGGGATGTCCCACCCCTTTCCTTGGTGAGATGGGATGCTATGTCCCTCGCCTTGGTGAAATAGGAAATGTGTCCATTTCAGGTACAGCGGTGGGAGAAGTCGCCCATTTTGGTGGCGCGATGAAATGAGAAGCTGCACCCTTGTGCCCCACTTGGTGGGAAACCATACCGTCCTTTCTACACAAAGTGGGAAATGCAACCTGTCTGAGAGCGAGGGTTGGGGATTTCCCACTCTTGCGGCCTCTCCCCCCAGCACTCAGCAGCGATCCCTGCCCCCTCCAAGGCGGCCCCACAGATCAGCCTGGGAGAGATGATCCGTGTCCCGAGCCTGCAGCTGAGCACAATGGCCTCCATGAGCAGCGCCTCCGTGGCCATGGTCTACAAGCAGCTGGGAGCCTTCCTGTTTGGTGGCATGGCCACCTCCTCCCTGACCAGCATCACCAAGAGGACTACAGGTCACCCTCAGCCCCACTTCCTGGCCATTTGCCTGCCAGAGCCGCCCTCCAGAGTACCTGCATGACCAGTTACACCTGCACCAGGCACCCCAAAGATGTCCTCCATGGCAGGCGAGCAGGTGGGCGGGGAGGGAGACCCAGGAAGCTCCCAATCCCAGCTGATGTCAGCACTGCCCACCCCCCATCCCCCAGGAAATCCTTCTGCTCTGAGCACGCCTCCTTCGGGATGTACTCCATGGTGTATCTGGTGAGGAGTGTTGGCGGGAGGCAGGCCACATACTCAGCATGGCCAGAGAATGCTCCATTGTCCCCCCCCCCACCCACCCCCCATGCTTGGTGCCAGCAGCGCTGGGCACGGCTTCCAGAGAGCTTCTGTGTGCTCCCAGAGTTGGAAGGGCAAGAACAGGGAGGGCCTATCTTCTCTTAAGACTTATTCAGCATCTCTGCCTCAGAACAGCTACTTCCAGAACCCTGCGTCTCCCCCTCCTTGCAGCTGGAAACAGCCGTGCCAGGCTAGGTCCATGCCTAGGGATGGGCTCTGCCAGGAGCAAGGGGAAGGGAAATAGGACCCAGTAGAGGTGTAAGGCTAAGGTCTGGGTGGCGAGGTGGCCGGAGGAGCGAGGGAGCCTCTGGGAAGTAGCTGATGACCCACGGACCCAGTGGACAAAGAGAGCACAGATTCGTGGAAGCAGATGGCACACACTGGAGCCAGCCCAGAGCACCCGGGCACCATGGTGGGCAGACACAATGACACAGACAGAGGCCCAGGCCACGGAGCACGTGACAGTCACCCGGCTGCCTTCACAACAGCAACATTTTCTTCCTGAAAGATGACCCATTCAACTGCCAACCTATTTTTTTTTTAAGACCAAGTAACAAAATAATTTCAGCTTCCTGTAGCGATAAAAGAGCAAAATCTTTGAAGCTGGCATGTAAGGGCTCCATTCCCAGCCTTGACTGCGTGTGACACTGGGTGAGATATTCAACCTCCTGCGGCCTCAGTTTCCTCATCTGTAAAATGGGCGTGCAAACAGCTCCCGTCTCCCAGGGTTGTGGTTTCATGAGTTAAAATATAAACAAGCTGATATACTCGAAGCACATAGATCTGGCTTAAAGGTCACTGTGATTAATAACAGGCAAGACAGACTCCCTCTGTCCCCTGGGGGGGTTGGGGGATGGGGTGCATGTCAGCAATGCCTAGAGGCACACAGATGGGGCGACAGTGTGGCTCCCCGTGTGGCAGACCACACACAGCTAGGAGACAGGTCTTCCCCCAGTTTTGCAGACCCCGGAAAAGGCGGCAGTTTCACGAGCAGAACGTTGTGTGTCTCGGGGAATTCTCTTGCATCTTGAGTCTTCCCCGGGTCTCTCCCTAGAGCACACAGCAGCCCCTTGTCCATTCTTCTTGCTCGTACCGAGGAAGTAAATTTAGCTCGGTGTTTCAAAATGAGATTTTTCTTTTTTCTGTTTTCCATTTCAAAATCAGGAGCCCAGCCCCTGCTTTTTGAGGGCTCCCCGGTTCCCACGCACAGGGTCTCGCTTGCACTGCTGGGGAAATCTTTCAACATCTTACCATTCTCCCGACACTAGCACGTGGTCAATGGCATCAAGCTCTCTTAAGGTGATGGTTGTGGAGGCCACAGCCAATACCCTCTATAGAGGCTGAAATCCGTTTCTATACAAAACTGGCAAAGTAGAATGTCTTACCTCAGGCCATGGCTGCCCAAGGTCGGAAAGGCAGGGGTGGCACAAAAAGGCAGCCCCGGGGTGGAGTCCCTGGTGACTGGCTCCCAGTGCTCCAAGGAGCTGCCCGCCCGCCCTCCAGCTCTAGGATGGGGACCATCCAGCTCCTTTTCTTGTCCCTGGCTCTGTTCACCCTGGATCTCGGACTATCGGCACCACCCCTCTGATACGACCTTTGGATTCCTACAGGGAGCCCTGATGGCTTTCTCCGGGGTAGATGATGCTATGCGGCGCTTGGGTACCAGGGGGGGTCTGCCTGCCTGGGAGCCATGGGTACACCTGGCCCTCCACCTGCCAGGTTAGGAGCCGAGCAAAGGCCAGACTAGGGAGGGGCCAGTCACGGGGTGCAGGTAAGGTCAGCCCACCCCAAACCCCTCCCCCTTTCATCCCCAAAGGCTTTCTACATCTCCAGCCTTTCTACATCTTGGGCGATGCCAGGTCCCAGCAGCTCCAGATGCTAGAAGGCCGCCTGGCTCCTGCTCCCCAACCTCTTCCCGCTTCCCCCACCCTGGATTCCTCCCCTGAGGGCCATCAGGGGAACACAGCGATGCCCTGAGGCAGAGAAAGATAGAGGGTCCCCATGGCAAGGCCTGTACTCTCCCAGGAGCGGTCCCTTCCCAGTAGACGCAACCCAAGAAGCTCCGCCTCTCTGAAGCTAGCCCACGCCCCACATCAGCCCCGCTCTAGTGGAGTGACACAGGGAACCCCATTTTCCCAAATCAGCCCCTCCCAGCAGGGCCACTTGCACTTTTATATCTTTCTGACTCTTGATACATTAAAAAATGAAGAGCGTTTACGAGTTTTCGATATATATTAATATGGGTGGGTGGACCTTGTTTTTCCATCTGGGCACCATGCCTCACGGGTCAATTGTAACATGTGCGTTGGGTAATAACCGCCAAAGTCCAAATCAGGGTTTCTCGACCTTGGCCTTGGTGACGTTGTCATTTGGGGTGAGATCATTATTTGCCATCGGAGGCTGTCCTGTGCTCTGTACAATGTTTAGCACCATCCACCCACTAGATGCCAGGAGCACACGCATGCACCCCATCCAGGCACGACAACCAAAAATGTCTCCAGACATTGCCAGGTGTCCCCTGGGGGCAGAATCACCCCCGGGGTTGGGAAACACTGGTCAAAATTAAGAGGTCACTGGTGAATGTGTTGTCCCAGCCATAGAGCGGACCGGGCTGGCCCCAGCCCCACCCCACAGTAGCCACGGGGAATGAGGAGGAGGCTCCCGGGCAGCGCGCTGGAGGCTGCCAGCAGAAGGTGGCCCCAAGAGGCCTGGCCTTTGGTTCAGGGGCAACACGGGAAGTTTTATCCAGCCCCCGATAATAATTGTAACCCTAGTAGCTACAATTTATCGTTTATTCCCGGCGAGGGGGAACTGGGCCCATCTTGATAACCGGGCCACCTCATTGGACGGTTCCAGCCGGCCCAGAGGGCGGGCATCCTTGGCTGCCCCATCTTGCAGAAGAGGAAATTCAGCCATAGAGAGGCAAAGCGGCCCAGCAAGGTCACAGAGCTAATAAACGCGAAGGGAGTGCGATGACTTGGAATAAATTACAACACTGGAGCAGAGAGGCGCCCGATCCGAGGGGAGCAGGGCAGCCCCTCCCAACATGTCATCCAGCCCTATGTCTGCATTAAGCCTTGATGTTCGACCCCAGGCAAGGCTGGAGGTGACCCCACCCGCCGTGGACCCCCAAGCCCAACAGAGGTGTCCTGGGGGAGCCATCGGCTCCCACAAGCATCCCCAGACGGGGAAGGAAAATCGAGGACCCCTCCCCCCAAAACAGATCGCAACGCCAGAGCTCCCAGCTGGGCTCCACGAGGAGCCCTCCCAGTTAATGCAAGGGTTCTGGCGAATGAGACCTAAATGGAATGGGGAGGGTTGCTGCGGACAGGGAAACTGAGGCAGGGCCGCCGAGGGGGGCGGCGGGGGGAGGTGTGGAGGAGAGGCAGGACCGCCCCGCGGCTTGTTCACTGGGCGCTCTCCCTCCCCCGCCCGATTGTTGCAAAGCCCGGGTCGCCAAGCCAGGCTGGGGTCGGGGAGGGGTGCGGTGGGCAGGGGGAGATGATACTGACGGCGCCTGAGGGGGCTCACCCCCACGGCCCGGGTTGGGGGCGCATGGGACACCAGCAAGCCCCAGCCTGCGACCCCGGGGGTCTCCAGGCTGCTGGGGAGGGAGGTCCCTCCACCCCCCGCCCCCGCCGCACCCTCCGTCCGGGGGCGGGACCAGGGGGCGGAGCGGGCCGGCGACCGGCCGTGACGCGGGCCCCGCCCGCTCATATAGAGGCGGCCCCGGGGCGCAGGGACCGTGCTTCGCCGCCGCCGCCGCCGCCGCGTCCACCACCAGCCCCGCCGCCGCAGCCCCAGCATCCGCATCCCCGCCTACGCGTCCCCCACCAGCGCCACCGCCATGCGGGAGATCGTGCACCTGCAGGCCGGCCAGTGCGGCAATCAGATCGGAGCTAAGGTGCGCGGGGGACGGGCCCGGGGAGACGACGGAGGAGAGCAGAGCGGAGCCCTCGAGCCCCGCAGAGCTCCCCCACCTTGGGCCTTTTGGGGGACGGGGTCCCCAGGAGGCTAGCACCCCGGGGACGGTGGGGGAGGGGCGCGGGGGGAAGGCCAGACTGGGAACAAAGAGGCCGATGGGGGTGGGGCCCAGGCTCCTGTCCGCTGGCCGCAGCTGGCTTCACAGCTGGCCCTCTGTCCCCTGCACACGCACAAAGAGACCGCGCCCCTCCCCGCGGCTGCAGTCAGGGCGCGCTGACACCAGCCCACTTGGCTGGGGTGGTGACTCTGCTCCACCCCGCCCCCACCTCTCCCTTCTTGCTGCCTCATCCTTGTCTCCCCCCTCCACCCCTTGCCTCTAAGTCCCCCATTCACCTTGCTGGGGGGCAGGTGGCAGCTAAGGAGGTGGCTGGGGGTCCCGCGCCCAGGGAGGCAGGGGCAGGCCTGACGGTGGCGGTCCCCGTCTCTCCATCCTTACCACCACCACCCTGTCTAGTTTTGGGAGGTGATCAGTGATGAGCATGGCATTGACCCCACCGGCACTTACCACGGGGACAGTGACCTGCAGCTGGAGAGGATCAACGTGTACTACAATGAGGCCACAGGTAAGACACAGGGGCATCTGCGGGGCTGGGAGGGGACGGGATGCTGGTTCCTGGCGCTCGCCCCAGCTGCCGCCATCTGCTTCCCTGCAGGAGGAAATTATGTGCCCAGAGCCGTGCTGGTGGACCTGGAGCCGGGCACCATGGACTCCGTCCGCTCCGGCCCCTTCGGCCAGATCTTTCGGCCTGACAACTTTGTTTTCGGTGAGTCATCAGCGTGGAGCACAGGCATGGGTGGGCCCTCGTTCCTTTCGCCTCCGAATGCTTGATGAAAGTTCTCTACCCCCAGCATCCGAGATGACAGCGACCGCGGGGGCCCAGTGCGGGAGGCGGGACGGGCAGTCAGGGCTGTGATGGGGGGCACACACACACAGGCCGCTGTGGGAGCCCAGGGGAGACATCTGATGGGGGGGGAAGGCTTCCTGGAGGAGATGGCATTTTATTTAACAGTATGGACAAGGGCCGTCCTGGTGGTGCAGTGGTCAAGTGCGCACGTTCCCCTTTGGTGGCCCGGGGTTCGGCAGTTCGGATCCTGGGTGTGGACATGGCACTGCTTGGCAAGCCGTGCTGTGGCAGGCATCCCACATATAAAGTAGAGGGAGATGGGCACGGATGTTAGCTCAGAGCCAGTCTTCCTCAGCAAAAAGAGGAGGATTGGCAGCAGATGTTAGCTCAGGGCTAATCTTCCTCAACAAAATTAAAATAAAATAAAACAGTATGGACAGGAGCCAGACTGCCCGGATGCAAATGTCACCTCTGCCCGTTTATGCCTTCGACACTTACTGAGCACCTCCTGTATACCATACCTACTGTATCTCCTGGGGATACAGCAGAGAACGACCTGGACAAAGCCGTCTGTCCTCCTGCAGCTGACAGCCTGGTGGAGGGAGATGAGATGCGAAGAGACATAAGTAAGACTCAGCCATTGAGTGAGCTCGGTGACTTTGGGTGGCCTCCTCAATCGCTGTGTGCCTCAGTTTCCTCACCTTTAAAACAAAAATTACAAAAAGACCTACTCTTGTCAGGATTGCAAAGCTTAAACCTGTTAATACGTGTAAAGAACTTAGAATTGGGCCTAGCCCAGGGGAAAAGGTAAATAAGCATTGGTTGTCGTTTTTATTATCCTTATCATTATTAATGTCTGCAGCCCTGAAGATGAGTAGGACGTGGGCTGACCAGGGGACATTAAAGGGAAGAAAGTGTGCAAGACAGAGGGAACAGCCTATGCGAAGACAATGAGCACATTTGCAACACTCAGATTCAAGGGGCACGCACACTCTATGAACCTCCTTCTAGGAAACCCTTTCTGGGCCTGCTAGGTCAGGCTGGCTGCACTCCCCGACTTGGCCTCAGGCCCCAGGCTCCACCCTCCCCCAGCACCCCAGCACCTCTCCTCCTTGGAGCACGGTAGTTTAGAGTCTGGAGTCTAGAGTTTGCTGGGACAAGCTGTGTGACCTTGGACAAGTGACTTCCCATCTCTGGTCTCTGCAAAGATTCAGCAAGATAATGACGCTGCTGTGTGCATATGGCGCACAATAGGTGCTCAAGAAATGGATGTGGAAAGACTAAATGAGGTTGGCCAAAGGATGTGAGGGCTCCTAGGGTGACCATGGGTGGCCCCAGTCGGGCCTCTGGGAGGCAGGGCTGGGGTGGGTGGTGATGAAAGTGCTGACTCAGGAGCCAGACCACCTGGTTCAAACTGTTCTCTCTGAGGAGATGACGTTAAACAGAGACCTGAAGGAAGAGTCAGCCATGTGAGTACCTGGGGGGAGAGCATTCCAGGCAGAGGGAACCGCCAGTGAAAATGGCCTGGGGCCAGACCGGGCCTGGCATGTTGGAGGAACAGCGAGGAGGCCCGTGTGGCTGGAGCAGAGAGAGTGAGGGAGGGCAAGGAGGGGACGGGGCAGGTCATGCCCGGCCTGGGGGGGCTACAGGGAGGACTCGCTTCTCCGCATCACGGGAGGGGGAGCCTGGAGGGCTGTGGGCAGAGGAGGGCGGCCGACCCAGGGCTCCCGGGCGCCCTCTGGTGGGGGCTGCAGGGAGGACAGACCATGGTAGGGGCCAGTCCAGGTGAGGGACGATGGAGCCTGACCAGAGTGGAGGCAGAGGAAGGGGCGAGAAGAAATGTTACCTGTTCACAAAAATACCAGCCGATGTTCTCACGCTCATCCTTGTCCTCCTGGAGCGTGTGCTCCCCTGCGCGATTACAGACAATAATCATGATTAGTAAGACGACACAAGTTTGTTGGGGCAATGGAGAAAAATAAAGCAAGGAAGAGGAATAAGAAACGGGAGCGGGTGCCGTTCTGTGTAGGGTGATCAGAGAGGGCCTTGCTGAGGGGGACAAAGTCCTGAGGGAGATAAGAGAGGGGCCATGTGGGTCTCTGGGGGAAGAGCATTCCAGGCTAAGAGAACAGCCCGTGCAAAGGCCCTGGGGCAGGACCGGGTCTGGCATGCTGGAGGAACAGTGAGGAGGCCTGTGTAGCTGGAGCAGAGGGACTGAGGGGGCAAGAGGGAGGAGAGAGGGCAGGGCCTGGTGGGCTTGTGCTGGAAGATGGGAGTCCTGGGGTGATTTTGAGCTAAGGTGGGACATGATTCGATTTAGGACCCTTCTGGCTGCTGGGCGAAGCGGGGCAAGGATGGAAGCAGAGAGAACAGTTACCTTATGCCACTCCTAGGATGGCTGTGGGTGCGGTTGAGGGCGGACTCTCCCCATAACTGCCCGCCCGTCCCCTCGCCTTCCCCCTCCAGGCCAGTCCGGAGCCGGCAACAACTGGGCCAAGGGCCACTACACAGAGGGCGCGGAGCTGGTGGACGCCGTCCTCGACGTGGTCCGGAAGGAGGCGGAGAGCTGCGACTGCCTCCAGGGCTTCCAGCTGACCCACTCGCTGGGCGGGGGCACGGGCTCGGGCATGGGCACGCTGCTCATCAGCAAGATCCGGGAGGAGTTCCCGGACAGGATCATGAACACCTTCAGCGTGGTGCCCTCGCCCAAGGTGTCGGACACGGTGGTGGAGCCCTACAACGCCACCCTGTCCGTGCACCAGCTGGTGGAGAACACCGATGAGACCTACTGCATCGACAACGAGGCCCTGTACGACATCTGCTTCCGCACCCTGAAACTCACCACCCCCACTTACGGGGACCTCAATCACCTGGTGTCGGCCACCATGAGCGGGGTCACCACCTGCCTGCGCTTCCCAGGCCAGCTGAACGCCGACCTGCGCAAGCTGGCCGTGAACATGGTGCCCTTCCCTCGCCTGCACTTCTTCATGCCCGGCTTCGCCCCGCTGACCAGCCGGGGCAGCCAGCAGTACCGGGCTCTGACGGTGCCCGAGCTCACCCAGCAGATGTTCGACGCCAAGAACATGATGGCCGCCTGCGACCCCCGGCACGGCCGCTACCTGACGGTGGCCGCGGTGTTCAGGGGCCGCATGTCCATGAAGGAGGTGGACGAGCAGATGCTGAGCGTGCAGAGCAAGAACAGCAGCTACTTCGTGGAGTGGATCCCCAACAACGTGAAGACGGCCGTGTGCGACATCCCGCCCCGCGGCCTGAAGATGGCCGCCACCTTCATCGGCAACAGCACGGCCATCCAGGAGCTGTTCAAGCGCATCTCGGAGCAGTTCACGGCCATGTTCCGGCGCAAGGCCTTCCTGCACTGGTACACGGGCGAGGGCATGGACGAGATGGAGTTCACCGAGGCCGAGAGCAACATGAACGACCTGGTGTCCGAGTACCAGCAGTACCAGGACGCCACGGCCGAGGAGGGCGAGTTCGAGGAGGAGGCCGAGGAGGAGGTGGCCTAGGGCCCTCCGGTTCATTTCATGTCCGCCCCCCTGCTAGGCTGCCGACCTCTGACCCCCCAGAGCCCCCCTCCCACCCCGTGAACCCCACTTCCCCTCTGGCCCTATGACCTTCACTTCTCCTCCGACCTTGACCGACCTTTCACCCTTGAGCCCCACTTTCTCTCCAGCCCCCTTGAGCTGTTCCAACTTCCACCTCCCCGTGAACCCTGCTTCACCTCTGACCCCGCAAACCCCGCCTTTAACTCCATGAACTCTCCCTCACCCCTGACCTCCCCATCACCTTTGACCTGCCCCACAAACCCCATGGCACCCGCAGGCTTAGAAGACCTAGTTTACTTTTGACCCCTCCCTCTGAGCCTCCCTTCGCCTCCAGCCTTGCCTCCCCTTTGACCCCTGGGCTCCACCTCCCCTCTGACCCCACCTTCTCCCTGGCTCGTTTGAACCCCCTGTTTCCTCCCTGAACCCACGCCCCTGAGCTCCCACCGACCTTGGCTTTCCAGGGCTGGTGGAAGGTTGCAGCTGGGAGAAAGAGAAACCCTGGAGCATGTGGGCAGGAGAGGCCGTGCCCCCGACCCGACCCTCTCTCTTCCCCCCATCTCACCTTCAATAAAGAAATTAACTGTTGTCCTGCTGTGTTTCCGCGGAGTGCATTTTTCATCCCCCCGTGGGAGGGCTGGCAAGTGAGAGCTGCCCCCTACGGATGGAGGTGGACACTGAAGGGACATCTAATCTGGGGGTTGGGGGGAAGCGGGGCAGAGATTTCAGAGTCAGACAGGCCAGGCCAGCTCTCTGGTGCTGAGTAAGCCACTTGCCCTCTCGGAGCCTCGATTTGCTCACCAGGAGAATGGGGTCACAGGGGATCATTCATGATCCCCACACACCCACCTCCGGGATGTTTGTGAGGATTCTGGAAAAGTCGTGGGCACACAGCCTGGCATGGAGTGGGTGCTTGGCGAAGAAGCTGCTACCGTTCTCTATGGGGCATCTTGCAAGTATGCAAAGCAGGAGGGGCGAATGTCTAAGGAAGGATGCTGGGAGATGGCAGCCTGGACCAGCAGCCGAGGAACAGAATAACAGTCACTAACACATAGGGAGCGTTTCGATGGCCTGGTGCGTGCTTCATCTCATGAGACCTCACACCGACCCCGTGAGCTCTGAGCTTTTATCTCCTTTCAATGAAGGTTTAGAGAGACAAAGTCTATCAGTTAATTTTCGCTGCGTGACAAAGTATCCCCAAAAGTCAAGGGGCTTAAACCAACCACAGTTATTTATTTTGCTGCCAAAGCTACAACTCGGTCAGGGCCTCAGCAGAGCAGCTTGTCTCTGCTTCCCGTGGCATCAGCTGGAGAACCTCATCTGGAGGCCGAGGGATCTATTTTCAAGGGGATTCACTCACGTGGCTGCCAAGTTGATGCCAACTATCGGCTGGGGGCTCAGCGGGGGCAGGTGGAAGGAGGGCGCCAGTATCTCTCCACAGTCTCATGACCTGGCAGCTAGGTTCCCCAACAGCAAATATCCCAGGAGAGCAAGGAGGAATGCATTGCATTTTTCTGACCTAGCTCCAGAAGCCACATAGTGTCCTCTGGCTTTCTGATCAAGGGGGTCACAAGGGCTTGTCCAGGTTCACAGGAATGGGATATAGACTCCGCCTCTTGAAGGTAGAGAGGCAAGACTTCAGAAGAGCATGTGGGGCGGGAGATAGGCTGTGGCTATCCTTGGAAATCACAATTTGCCACACAAAGTCTCTTGCCCACGGTCCCATGGCTATGAAGTGGTGAGCTGGGGTTCAAACCCTGACAGTTTCATTCTAGAACTCCGATTCAACTCTGTCGGCCAGAGTTCAGTGTGGGGACAATTTGAGGCATGTTAAACAGAAAGGGATTCAATACAGGGATTGATGGACTTACACTATCGTTGCAGGGGCTGAGAGAGTGGGCTGAAGGCCAGTGCTTCTTAAACTTTAGTGTGCAAAGAATCACCCAGGACACAGCTTCCTGGGCCCCATCCTAGAGTTTTTGATTCAGTAGATGTGGGGAGTGGGGCCCAAGATTCTGCTTTTTTTAAATATATATATATATATTTTTTTTTTTTTTTTTTTTTGCTGAGGAAGATTAGCCCTGAGCTATCATCTGTTCCAATCATCCTCTGCTTTGTATGTAGGTCACCACCACAGTGTGGCTGATGAGTGGTGTAAGTCCACACCTGGGATCCGAACCTGCAAACCCGGGCCACCAAAGGAGAGTTCGCCAAACTTAACCACCACGCCATGGGGACAGCCCTGGACTTTGCATTTTTAACAAGCTCTCGGGTGATGCTGATGATGCTGCCTATGAGACCATGTTTTGAGTAGCCCTGGAATAGGTCAAAGCGCCACAGAGCTGAGCCACCAGGGGGCTGCTTCCCCTGCTCGGTGAGAAAGGCAAAGAATCAGGATGCTACCAGAGCTAACGAGTTCAAGAACACCTCCCAACACCCACAGAGCCGAGATAGGTCCACTGGAATGCCGAACAGAAATTACTAGAATGAACATAAAACAAATTTACTTAAATATCCAGCAGGATACACACACACACACAGGGTTCTGCCTCACTTCTACCTTCCAGATCTCTCAGGAGCATTTCTGATTGGTGGAACCAATTCTCCATCCGGGACCAGAGCTGCAAGGGATTCTGGGAGATGTAGTTTTGTTTTTTTCATTTCCCAGCTTCTGCCCTACAAGGAAGGCAAATCAGAAAGGCTAGAAGGCGGAGAGGAGAGATGCTCAGAGCCAATCGACTGTTTCCACCACACTCTAGGCTAGACCACCAGACCCAGACTGGGGCCCCAGCACTCTTAGTGGGTCCCACTGCAGCCAGGAGGAAGGAGAAGCCTGGGGAAGACATCCATCCCACAGTAACTGTCCTCTCAGCAGGCCCAGCACAGCGCTGGGTGGGAGAGCAGAAAGACAATGGACCAGGCAGTGGACTTGGCTCTCTTTATAATCTCCAACCTAACGTGGTCACACAAGAACTCCCTATTCTGCCCCCAAAACATCCCCTTCCCCTGATAAATGGCACCACCCCATTGCTCAAATCCCAAACCAAGGAGTTCAGCCTTGACTCCTAGTTTCCTATACGCAACACACTCTTTGTATCTTTTGCTGAGTCCAGTTGCTCTGTCTCCAAAACGTATCCCAAATCTGATCTCTTCTTTCTACCTGTCTATACTCTGGTATAAGCCACCATTATTGCTCATGACGACAACCCCTCCAGTCGCTTCCCTGGGCTCTCTGCTGCCACCCCTGCCCCCTGCAGTGTGCAGGGTCCTCCTTCCACAGCAGCCAGAGAGGAGCCTTTACACGCAGATAAGTATCTATCCTTCCTTTGCTCAAAACCATCCCACGACTCCTATCTTACTCAGACTGAAACCCAGTTCCCACCTTGGTCTCCACCCCTTGCTGACTACATCCCCGTCATCCTCCCCCTCATCCATTAAGCTGAAACTACAGTGGCCTTCTTTCTGTGCTCGACCATATCAAACTCAATTCAACCTCAGGGCCTTTGCACATGCTGTTCCTGCTGCTTCCTTCCGCAGATGCGTGCATGGCTGGCCCCTTCTCATCTACAGCTTTCAGTTTGATAACGGCTCCTCAGAGAAGCCTATCCTGCAACTCTGAATTAGCACCCACTCGCTCTCCATTAGCTATCTCGTTTCATTTTACTGATAGCACCCATCGCTAACTCAGATTATCTTATCCATTTGTATACTTGTTTCTTTTATCTGTTCCCTTCCTTCCCCACCGGAATGTAAGCTTCATGAGGACAGGAATCTTGTCTACCTTGGTCACCACGTGGGTAGGACAGCTTGATGTAACACAGGCCCTCAGTAATTATTTGTTGAATAAATGAGCAAGTGAATGAACAAGGCTTCATGACATCCAGGAGGTGTTTTGTTTTTCTCATTTTAAAATGAGAAAATGGAGGCCTAGAGAGTTTAGAAGGGGACTTCTAAGATGACCCCTAATGATCCCCATCTCCTTTAGTCATGTTCCTCTGAGATTCCCTCTCTTGAATGTGGGCTGGACCTGATGATGGCTTCTGACCAACAGGATATGGCAAAGACGATGGGCTGACACTTCCAAGACTGGGTTCCAAAAGATTGTGACTTCTGTCTGGATGAAGTCTCTATTCCCTTCTCACCTTGCTCACTTTGGTGAAGCAAGCAGTGTGTTGGAAGGTCCACGTGGCAAAGAAGGGAGGGCAGCCTTTGGCCAACAGCCAGCAAGGACCTGAGGTCCTCAGTCCAATAGCCCGCAACTAACTGAATCCTGCCAACAGCCACAGAGTGAGCTTGGCAGCACGTCTTTCTCCAGTCGAGACTTCAGACGAGACCACAGCCCAACGGACACCTTATTACAGCGGAGAGACCCTTCAGCAGAGGACCCGACTGTGTGGTGCCCAGAGTCTGACCCATAGAAACTGTCAGACAACATATTTGTGTTCTCTTAAGCCATTAACTTCAGGACAACTTGTTACATGGCAATAAATTACTAATACAGAGAGACCAAATGACGCCTAAGGTCACACAGACATTAAAGAACTGAGTCAGGTCTTGAACCCAGGTGTCTCTGACACCAAAATCATTCTCTTAACCACTTAGCTGAACTGCCTCCCATAATAATAGACAGAACATATAAAAAACTTGATTCAGGGGGCTGGCCCACTTGGCATAGAGGTTCACGTATTCTGCTTTGGTGGCCCAGGGCTCACCAGTTCGGATCCCGGGCACAGACCTACACACTGCTCATCAAGCCATGCTGTGGCGGGCGTCCCACATACAAAGCAGAGGAAGATGGGCACGGATGTTAGCTCAGGGCCAGTCTTCCTCAGCAAAAAAGAGGAGGATTGGCAGCAGATGTTAACTAAGGGCTAATCTTCCTGAAAAAACAAAAACAAAAACAAAAAAACTTGATTCAGGTCTGCTCTCAAAAACATTTTCCTTGAATTCTCTCATCGAACCTTTATGGCATCTCTGAAACAGGCACCATGTCTACCTATGTTACAGATACAGCAACCGACGTGCAGAGAGCATTCTGCTTTGAGGTCACCCACCAGAGATATGAATTCTTTTATCCCCACCCAGTGGGTTTGCCATTGGGTATTTGTCCTGAATTGGAGTGAACTGCAGACATGAAGCGGGCCTCAGAGGTCTCTGCAGCCTCCATGCCCATCTTACTCCATTTAGACTGCGACAGCAGAATACCAGAGACTGAGTGGTTCATAAACAATGTATATTTACTTTTCACAGTCCTAGAGTCTGGAAGGCCAAGATCAAGGTGCTGGCAGATTCTGTGTCTGGTGAGGACGCACTTCCTGGTCATAGATGGCGTCTTCTTGCTGCGTCCTCACAGGTAGAGGGACAAGGGAGCCCTCTGGGGTCTCTGTTATAAAGCCACTAATCGCATACACGAGGGCGCCACCTTCAAGATCTAATCATCTCCCAAAGGCCTCCACCTCGTAATCCCATCACCTTGGGCGTTAGGATTTAACATATAAATTTGGGGGGGACACACATTCAGTCTGTCGCAAGGTCCAAGAGTAGGTCTCTGTGCCCGTCTGCTGTGTGTGACTGTTCTAGCCTGTCTGTGTTCGTCACTTCCTGGCTCTGTGTGTGTGTGTGTTGTCTGTGTGTCCCTGTTCTGACTGCTGTCTGTCCACCTCCGGAGCTCCCCTGTGTCCACTCTCAGGCCCGGCTCCCTCTGGTGGTCCTACAGGGAATGGCCAGTGAGGATGGACCAAAGGAAAGAAGTAAAGTTGAGAGAAGAGGAAGCATTTCAGGCAAAATCTGAATCCTTGGCTGCCATAGAGAGGAGAAGCCTTGGGTGCGATGGCGGGCATCAGAGGTGGCCCGGGCTGGCAGGATAGGGCTGGGGGTCTGCCCTGGAGCCTGCATCACCTATTGCCCACCCATCCCGGGGAAGGCTCCGAGGCAGGATGCCTGGGTCTCTCACAGCGGTGGGGGCGGGGGCCTCCCTCTGGGGACGTCACCCGTTAAACTTCCTCTCTCAGCCACACAGGAAGCTGAGCCGGCTCAGGGCTCAGCCCCGAGCAAGCACGGGCCCCCAGGACCCCCGGGGAAAGGGACCCGCCGGGCCGGGCCTGCAGGGACCATGGGATCCGAAGCTGAGTAAGAGCCGCCCCCTCCCCCATCTTCTGGACCACGTTTCCCAGACCAGGCCGGGGCTGGGGCCAAGGGGAAAGGGGCTGGGGCAGGCCCCGGAGGGACCAAGGGCTACAGGGCAGGTGGCCGGAACTGGGGCAGGACTCCCGGCTGGCCTATAGGATGGACTTAGGGATACTCAGGCCACTGTCGGCCGCTCCTCTCTCTCTCTCTCTCTCTCTCTCTTTCTGGCTCTGTGTAACTAAGCTTGTAACTCCCAGCATGCACCTCTTGGTGTATCTGAGTGATGGAGAGCATGGCTTCCGGGGGTCAGCAGGGTAGGGGGAGGACTGCGTGTGTCTGTGCGCATGCATGATTGTGTGGGACTGGTGTCAGCTTGAGAACAAAGTGCCGGGGGGTCCCCATGGCAGGGGCTGTGTATCAGCAGTCAGACCCCAGCCTCTTCCTCTGTGGCCCTCCAGGTCTCACCGTCGCTCTCTCTGAGCCCGCCTCCCAGCATCCTCTGTGCCGTCGGTGGAGGGGGGAACAGGGGAAGGCAGAGATTGCCGGGCTCACGGAGGGAGCAGGCATGCCGCCCTCCGTTCTCTGATGAGAAATTCAGGGTCAACCCCCGGGCCCCCGTGAAGTCTCCCACCCAGAGACGCATGGGCAGGGCTTCTTGCCTTTAAGACCAAGGGGTCTGCTCGCATTAAGCCAGTCACACTCGCAGCCACGCAAGGAAGCGTGGATGTTATTTGCCCTCACACCGGCTCAGTCCCGCCTGACACATACACTGGACAGTGTCATCCCTTCAGGCAGACACGGGAGAGAACGACAAACACACACACACCTGCATGCTCACATAAGTCATGCACACAGCCACACACACACACACACACACACTCATGTAAGTCATGTACACACACATGAAAGCTTACCCAAGTCATGTACACACACACAGCTGCGTGCTCACACAAGTCATGCACACAGCCACGCGCACACACACACATGCTCATACAAGTTACACACACACACACATGCTCACACAAGTCATGCACACAGATACACACACACTTGTATGCTCTAAGTCATGCACACACGAGCACATCCACATGCTCACACAAGTCATGCACACACACACACAGTCACACTCTCTCACTTCAGTCCTGCTCCCAGTTGGGCACACGCAGTCAACAGCATTGCATGCACAGCCAAACACAGCTACACCCTCACTGCCACCACCCCAAGGGGGCATGCACACACATTTGCACCAGTCACACACGCACACATAATCACACACACATGCAGACCCCACACAAACACAACCACACACCCAGAAGCGAGTCCCTGGACCCACTGAGCCCTTTCCTGTCCCACAGAGGGGGTCCCCCAGCTGTGTTTGACTGGTTCTTCGAAGCAGCCTGTCCTGCCTCCCTGCAGGAAGGTGAGTTGGGGGCATCAGGTGGGGGCGGGGAGATGGAGGGTGGGCCGGGGGCCCTGAACATCAAGGCCTGCTCTCCCTGCAGACCCCCCCATCCTGCGGCAGTTCCCCCCGGACTTCAGGGACCAGGTACGCAGGCTGGCTCCTTGCTCCCCTTGGGGGAGGGGCCTCCATGGCTCGGACAGGGAGGGGCCAAGCAGTGCGTGCTTCTCTCCACGCAGGACGCTATGCAGATGGTGCCTAAATTCTGCTTCCCTTTTGATGTGGAAAGGTACGAAAGGAAGCGGACACCCAAGGACCCAGGGACTCAGACCTCTCAGGGAGCCCCAGGTTCAAACACCCAGGGACCCTAGGGGCCCTGAGACTCAGACACCCAGGGACTCAGATGCTCACACTCGGGGGCCCCGACAACTAGCGACCTACACATGCAGGGACCAATTTACCCAGCTACTCAGGTACCTAGGACTCACAGATCCAGGGCCTCAGGCACTCAAGGACCCCAACAACCAGGGACCTCTACACCCAAGGCCCCAGACCAGTGGACACAGTACTAGGAGCATTGTTGAGGGGTAGGGTGGGGGTCAAGGAGCAGGGCCTGCCAGGTTTCTGAGAGCCTGTCCTGCCTCCAGGGAGCCCCCCAGCCCCGCTGTACAGCATTTCACCTTCGCCCTCACGGACCTGACCGGCACCCGCAGATTTGGTTTCTGCCGCCTGCGGGCTGGCGCCCACAGCTGTCTCTGCATCCTCAGGTGTGGGATATGGGGTCTGGGGGGAGGGGCCGGAAGGGCCTCGGCGAGGGGCACTTCCTGGAACCTGTGTCCTCTCTCCACAGCCACCTGCCTTGGTTCGAGGTGTTCTACAAGCTGCTGAACACAGTGGGGGACCTCCTGGCCCAGGACCAAGTGAGCTGAGCCCACTTCCCGCTCCCACGGGAGTCCCCGCCCCCGCCCCACCAAGCCCCCAGCCAGGCTCAGAATCCCCAGGCCTGGCCAGAGCCCCTCGGCTCCTCCCAGACCACCCAGCCTGAGTCCAGGCCGTCAGAATCCCCAACCCATATTCGAGCTCAGACACCCCACCCCCACCCAGGTCTCGGAGGCCGAGGACCTTCTTCTAAATCTGCAGCAGCAGCCCCTGCCGGGGACCTCAGTGGGGCCGGAGCTGGTGAGTAGTCCCCAGCGCCTGGGCTTCGAACCTCAGGCAGATGGGGAGGCTGCACCCCAGCCCTGAGGACCCACACGGCTACACTTCTCCCCCAGGGAGGCGAGGTGACGATCTCCAGCGCGCACAGCATCCCGCCCCCTGCCCCGGGGAACAGCAAGCCGGTGAGCCCAGTTGGGGACCTGGGAAGGTGGGGCACCCAGGTGAGGCCACCCCCTGACAGATCGGTCTCCCCGCCAATCCGCCCACCAGCTTTCCTGCTTCGTGGCCCCCGACTCCGGCCGCCTGCCGTCCATTCCTGAGAACGTGAGTGGACACCTGGGAGGGGGACATCTGGGGGCGGGGAGAGGTCCCGAAACCCGGAGGGGGCTGTCGCATCCTGTGGTCCCCCGCGCCCAGCGCTCCTCTCTGCTCCTCAGAGGAACCTGACGGAGCTGGTGGTGGCAGTGACCGACGAGAACATCGTGGGGCTGTTCGCCGCGCTCCTGGCGGAACGAAGGGTGCTGCTCACCTCCAGCAAGCTGAGCACTGTGAGGCGGGGCCAGCCGGACCCAGGGAGGGGCCAAGGCCTGGCTAAGCCCCTGGGGGCGGGACAACGGGGGTGACTCCTAGCTTCAAGCCCACCGCTTGCGACCCTAGGGCAAGGTCCTGACTCTGCCCCTAGCGGGGGAATCAGAGCTGGCTGTGCTGTGGCTCCTCCTCTTTGGGAGCGCTGAGTCCAGATTCCACCCTACTATGGGCCAGGACAAGCCTGGCCCCACCCCTCTGCGGGGTGAGGTCGAGGAACGCTGAATTCCAGCTCTGACCCTGGGGGAGGATGGGGACCAGGGTGTGGGGGGGCGGGTGGAACTTACACGCTGGCTCCACCCCTAGGGGCGGGACCAAGGGAGCTGCATTCTAGCTCCGCCTCCTAAGGGTGGGGTCGGTGGAGCTGACTCGTGGCTCCACCCCAGGGGCGGGGCAAGGGCGGGCGCAATCCTAGCTCCACCTCTTTTGGGGGTGGAGTCCGTGGGCTGAGTCGTTGATCTACGCCTACCGATTGGAGGGTTGCATATTAGCTCCGCCCCCTAAAAGGAGAGATTAGGATTTGCTGAGTCCTGGCTCCACCCGCTCCAAGCACCCTCGTTTGTTGAGTTCTTGGTCTCCACATTCCTAAAGAAGTCTGGGTTTTCGCCTCTTACCCAGTAGAGGGTGGGAAAAGGGTGGGGGCGGAGGGGACAGGAGACTGGAGATATGCGAAATGGAGCCGGGAGAACCATCATCCCAGAGAGGGTCCTTGAAGCTGGGGGTCCAGGCCCTGACTCCACGGCCCCCCACCCGTCGTCTCCAGTTGACCTCATGCGTCCACGCATCCTGCGCCCTCCTGTACCCCATGCGCTGGGAGCACGTGCTGATACCCACGCTGCCGCCGCACCTGCTGGACTACTGCTGGTGAGGGGCGGGGTCTGGGGAGGGGCAGGGCCTGGGGTGGCGAGAGTGTCAGACCCGGGAGTGGCGCCTGCATGACCTGCCCCCTCGGTGGTCCGCAGCGCGCCCATGCCCTACCTCATTGGAGTACACGCCAGTCTCGCCGAGGTGAGTGGGAGCGGACCTGGACCGCGGGGACGGGCGGGGATCCCTCCCTCCGCATCCCCAGATACCCTCCCCCGCCAGGGATGCTCCGATTCTGAGCGGCGGTCCCTCCTCCCCACCTCCCCGCACCTCATACAGAGAGTGCGGGAGAAAGCCCTGGAGGACGTCGTGATGATGAACGTGGACTCCAACACCTTGGAGACGCCCTTCGATGACGTGCAGGCGCTGCCCCCAGACGTGGTCAGTGTCGCCCCCTTCCACCCTCCTGCCGCGTCCGGGAGGCGGACGCCCCACATCCGCCCTCTCAGCGCCGCCCCCTTGTCCTCCAGGTGTCCCTGCTGAGGCTGCGGCTAAGAAAGGTCGCGCTGGCGCCCGGGGAAGGGGTGTCCCGTCTCTTCCTCAAAGCCCAGGCCTTGCTGTTTGGGGGCTACCGCGATGCGCTCGTCTGCAGCCCGGTGAGCAGTGGGGACGCCGAGGGAGACGCCTTGTGGGTCCCTGAAGGGTTCAGAATAATAGTGACACCTAGCTTTATGGCGTATTTACCCTGTGCCTCCATTCGCTCATCTGTAAAACGGGATCCCCATGGCACCCACCCGAAAGAGTGGTATGAGTCAGTGAATAAGCCTATGCAGAATGCTTGGACAGTGCCTGGCACATGTGAGCACTCGAAAAATGCCAGGTTTTACTATTCCTATCATCTCATCGAATGCTCACAACAGTATTATGAGAGGGACACTCTTACGATCCCGTCTTACATATGAGGAAACCGAGGCCTGGAGAGGTCCCACCGCCGGTGACTGTTGAAGCCAGGACTTCGGTCTGCTGACTTAACCTTCCCCTCCAGTTTCTCACAGCTATTCTATAAAAACTTTGGGGCATTCTATCCTTTGAGCATCTGATGTTCCTGTCAGCTCTGCCCTGACAATACGTCTCGAATCTCCCCATTTGTCCTCCTCTGTCCGCCCTGGTCTGGTCCGCATTATTGCTTGCCTGGATCAAGGCGCTCGCCTCGCCCGTGAGTCTCCTCTCGCAGGCTCCCACCTTCGCCCTCCACCATCTCTCCTCTCCGCAGAGGGCTCCTGGGAGTCCCTGAGCCAGGGCTCCGCCCTCCTCTGCCCACAGCCCTCCAGGGCTCCCACCACCCTCGGGGTCAAAGCCCAAGTCCTCCTCGCGGCCCAGGAGTGCAAGGAGGGCACTGCACAAGATCAGGCACACAGCAGGAGCTCAATCAATGTTTGCTACATAGAAATATGGTAGAATGAGGGTCCAGGAGAACAGCGGGGAGCTCGGGACGCGGGTCCTTCTTCCAGGGCCAGCCTGTGACATTCAGCGAAGACGCCTTCTTGGCCCAGAAACCCGGGGCGCCCCTGCAGGCCTTCCACCAGCGGGCTGTGCACCTGCAGCTATTCAAACAGGTGCGCCTGAGGGCGGGGCTGGGGCCGGAGGGGTGGGGCTGGGGGCGCAGACTCCCGGGTCGCCGGGGGCGGGGCTGGGGCCGGAGGGGTGGGGCTGGGGCCGGAGGGGCGGGGCTGGCGGCAGACGTCTAGGTCCTATGGGCGGGGCTAGAGTTGGTCCCTCGACATCCCCCACCCTAGGGCCTCCAGGTTGCAGGAGGCAGGACTGAACTCTTGGGTTCCTAAAGATGGGAACCCCCAACCTGAGTTCCTGAGGGATAAGATCTACTTCTAGGCCCCTGAGAAGATTGGGGTGGGGTCAGATTCTTGGGTCCCTAAAAGGGGAGCCTCCTGGGTCGAGGGTGGGGGTCCAGACAGCGCTCCCTTTGAGGGGAGGAGGAGGCGGGCCGGGACTCCTGGGCCCTAGAGACGTGGGAGGAAAGTGGAGCCGAACCCCTCGGTTCTTGGGAGAAGCTGGGCTGGACTCCAGGCTCCTTCAGTGCGGGGATGGGTCGTAGGGTCCCTGCAGGTGGGGTCGACTTCTTCCAGGGTCACTGAGAGGAGGTGAGCGGGTCTGGAGTAGCGCAGTCTGACTTCCGGGTCCCTGTGAGGGGCGGGGTTTGGCCCCTAAGGACAGGTCCCGACTCTGGGGGTGGGGAGAGTGTTGGACCTCTGCCTTCCTGAGGTGGACTCCAGATTCCTGGGTCCTGGGGGTGGGCCAGGGATGGCTTCTACGCCCGGAAGACGAACGGTCTCCTAGCTCTCAAATTCAGACGTGTCGGTGGCAACCAGGCTTCTGATTTTGACCCATCCCTCCACCCTCAGTTCATTGAAGGCCGGCTGGAGAAACTCAACACAGGAGAGGGCTTCTCAGACCTCTTTGAGCAGGAGATCACCTGCACTGAGGCCTCCTCAGGTGAGCCCTGCACCTAGCCCGGAGCCCCCACCCCACCAGCGCCCCAGCCAGAGCCTGCGTTCCATGACCACCTCTTCCCTCACTCCAGGCACCCTTCGCTCCTATCAGCTCTGGGCGGACAACTTAAAGGTAAGTAACACCAAATACTTGTTTAGGGTTTATTATTGAATTAATTTAATCCCATAACAGTCCCCTGGTAGGATCATCATTTTGCTCATTTATACATAGATGTGAAGAAATCAGAGACGGTGAGGGCCTTGTCCAGCGTCACACAGCCCCGGGTGGGGAGGTGGGGTCTGGGGTAACCCCAGATGCCCAAGCCTCTCCCCCTTGGTGTTCTCTTCCCAGAAAGGTGGTGGCACCCTCCTACATTCAGTCAAGGCCAAGACTCAACCAGCCGTCAAAAACATGTACCGCTCGGTGAGGCTAAGCTAGACAGGCCACTTATGGGGATGGCAAAGGCGAGGAGACAGAGGACATTTCCACCCCTCACAGAGACATTTTAACCCCCCATTTAAAGTGCAAACATTTTTATCTGAACTGAACCAGCAGTTAAACCATTAACAATTCTTCCCACTTTTATTTTCCATTTACCACACTTGTTTTGGTCAGGATCCTCTGTCCTGTTTAAAATGGACAACCAGGATTCATTGGCGAGCATCTTTTGTCCTTTGCGGGCACTACCATCCCAGCTCCCGCCCTTGTGGGTTTTTTTTCCTCCCAAGCCCAGAAGTTTCCCAGGGCCAACATTCACAGTTCCCAACGTCTCCATTAGATTTTCTTCTTCGCCTGGTTTTTGAAGACTGACGCGTTTTTATGATGCTCTGTTTTTGCCACTCCCCATTTCATTTGGGGGTTATTTCCTCCAGGCACATTCCTTTTGTATTAGTCAAAAGGGTGAGAGTTTGGGCGGACTTCCTAGGTGGGATGGGGGAATTGTGAATATATTTATGACACGCACCACAAATAGATGGCAAGACGTAGCTGTCCTTGGGGACGGAGGTGCTGGGTCCCCGAATGTCTAGGGTCAAATCGCTCTTGAGTCTGATTCTCTTTTGGCTCCTCCGTAGGCCAAGAGTGGGTTGAGGAGCATGCAGAGTCTTCTGATGTACAAGGTAAAAGCCGATGACCAATGGGCAGGGGGGAGTGGGGTACGGGCTCCTGGCTTACCCACCCTCTTCTAGGATGGGGCCTCTGTCCTGCACAGAGGGGGCTCCATGAGGGCCCCAACCCTCACCAGCCGCTCAGATCGCCTGCAGCAGCGCCTACCCATCACCCAGCACTTTGGACAGGTTAAGACTCCCCCACCCCCATCCCAACACGCCCCTGGAAGTGCCACCAAGTCCTCTCCCATCATCAGCCTCCTTCCAGTCATCTTGCCCCACCCACATCCCACAGGCCCCTGATCCCATAGCTCCTGGGGCCTCACACCCACCCCTCACATCTGTCCTTTGCAGAACCGGCCTCTTCGCCCCAGCAGGAGAATCCGGCTGGAAGAGAGACCTGAATCGCTGGGGGAGAGGTAAGGTTGAAAGATGGGGAAGGGGGCAATGTTGCAAGCGGGAGGCCAGCACTGATGAAGAGGGTGGTCCCCCTCCAGAGTAGCGGGACCAGGCCTGGGGATCTCAGGCTGGCATATCCGAGGCTGTCCATCTTCCCTCAGGACACCCCCTCTGAGCCCTGAGGATGCTCTGGACCCGTGGGCGGAGGAAACTCTGGACAGCAGCTTCCTGGGGTCCGGAGAAGAACTGGATTTGCTGAGCGAGATTCTGGACAGTCTGAGCATGGGAGCCACGAGGACAGGCAGCCTGCGGCCCAGCCAGAGTTTAGACTGCTGCCACAGAGGGGACCTGGACAGCTGCCTCAGCCTGGTGAGAGCCCCCAGTCCTCTCCCATCTGCCCAGCACGCTTGCCAGCCCCTCCGGCATCTCAAGGCCAGCAACTTGCTCATCTCCCCATCCCCACCCAGCCTGACATACCAGAAGGACCAAGATGGCAAGCAGATGATGAGAAACCGCCAGACCCCGAGCCCCTGTCCCTGCCTGCTAGACTGTCATCGCTGCACACCCCCCAGCCTTCGGACGCCACAAGCCTCTCCAAGAATCCCAGTTCCCAGCTGCCCTCAGAGGCCAGCCAAGAAACCTTTTCTCCATCTTCAACAGCATCGACAGACCCCAGCAGCCAAGGGGACCCCGAACCCTCTCTCCCGGAGCCCCATCCTCTAATCCTGGATCTCTCCCCTCCCCACAAGGCAGTCGAGGATCCCACAGCCCAGGAGAGCCCCTGCTCCCAGCTGTCCACAGCATGCCCCCAGCCCAGCCCTCCAGAAGACCCCCATATTCTAGTCCCCACAAAGCCTCTCTTGGATACTCCCCGGACATCCGCACCCCTTCATTCTTCCTCGGATCCCGGTTCCCTAGAAAACTCCAGAGCCCAGCCTTCTGAGGTCCTGCTGGCAGAGCACGCTCACCTCCAGCCCCCCAAGGAGCCAGAAGCTCCCAGATCCTCTGCTGCACCGGCTAGCCACGGTCAGGAGCCCCAGGCCAGGAGCCGGCCCCGAGTCGCTGAACTCAAAAAGTGTTTTGAAAGTTAAGGAGCAGGGTCTGGAGGACACTCCAGTCCCTCAATAAAACAGCAAGAACCCAAAACTGGTTTTTTTTCTGGTGAGTTTATCTGGGGGCCCTCTCTTAGCTTAAAAACCCATCGTATCCACCATCTTCCCTTCTGGAGCAGCCACCAGCTGGCTCCTAGGTAGGGTTAAGAGCACCTCCCTTCCAGGAAGCGCTCCCAGCCCCTAGGACCCTCGAAACCTGACCATCCATCTCTCAACAGCCTACGAACCCTGCATTGGTCACCTCCATCTAGGCTAATTCCTGCCCCCAGCAGATCAAAAAAAGGTTTAATTATATCTCACTACCAATTATATATATATATATATATATAAAGTGAGCAGTCTTGCCCTCAGGGGCAAAGTCTATGAAGCACCTTTTTCCCTTCTATTCTTAAGTGCTGGGTGGGTTTTTGGCCCAGAGAGGGCTCTACCTTCCCCCAAGGTCACACAGCCAGGAAGGGTGATGGATAGAGAAAGGAGACAGCCCTAGATGGGCAGGCAGCCCCGCACCGTCTCCTTGGAGTCCTGGGCAGCCCGGGCCTCGGCTGCGTGGGAGAACTGAAAGGAAAGGAGAGGCGGTGGTCGGGCCTGTGTGGCAGCAGGACAGACGGCCGGGTGAAGATGGTACAGCAAGCGGGGAGGCGGGTCCCCAGCCCCGGCACCCCCAACTGCAGGCCAAGGCAAGCAGAGGTGGCATGCTTTGCAGAGCCCGCCCAGCAGGTGCCCCGTGGCCCCCCAAGTCCTCCAGAATCATCAGAAGCCGGTGTCTCGGTGGCGGCGGCTGTGCGTGAGCGAGCGCCGGGCAGTCCTGGGTAGGGATGGCGGCTGCGGCCGGCACCACCATTCAGATGAGCCGCTCCTCGGGCGGCAGCTTGAGGTTGGGGGGTGGTGGCACGCGGGCACCCACCTGCTCCTCACTGCTGGGCCGGTAGGTGCCCTCTGTCTGCCGTTTCTCCCGCAGTTTCCGCACCAGCAGGACCAGCCCCACTGCCAGGAGCAGGACGGCCAGGAGGGAGAAGACCACGATGATAGCAGTGATGGCCCCCTGAGACTGAGGGAGAGGGGACAGGGGTGACCCACCTCAACCTGGGATGCCCGCCCCGCCACCCCCTCCCCCCGACCTGACCTGAGAAGCATTCAGGGGTCCTCATCCTCTAACACCTGCCACTTTTCACGATCTGGCTCCTCCACCCAGGATTCCTGATCCCCATCTCCCATATCTGGGCCTCCCAGGCACCCCCTCCTGCCATGTCTGGGATCCCCCTTTGAAGCAACCTGCTTCAAAGTGGGGCTTCTAGCTCCCCCCTCCCCCATGCCTGAGAGGCATATGGGGCTCCCACCCCCCTACGCTTACCATGTATGGTATTCATGTCCACCCCTTTCCTGGGGCTCTTGGTCTCCCTCATCTGGGGCCCTGGGTCTCCCCATTCATCATGCTGGTATTCAGGTCTCTCCCACTTGGGGCTCACCAATGTCTCCCCCTACCCTGACCTGCCACCTCTGGGGGTCTGGGCCCCTCCTCCTGTGACATGTGGGACTCCTGAAGAACATCCCTGCTGCCCTCCTCCCACATATACCCCCAACTCACCAGGGCCCTATTGGAGCCAGGGTCAGGGTCGGGGGTCGTAGTGGTGCCGTTACTTGTAGTGGAGCTCGACACTGTGGGGAGCGGGCATGGAGAGGATAAATGAGCCCCATTTATTCCTATCTAGTCGCATCTGCACCTTCCTTGGGCATGCCCCCGTCAGAACCCTGCCCGAGTCATCCACTCTTGTAGTAGAGACTGGATGCCTGGCAGGTAGGGGCCGGCTCAGCTGTTTTTGCTTCTCCAGCGGCCGGTAGCCCAGCAGAGTCCAGCAGCCGGTAATCAGTGGGGGCTGAGTTGGGGGCTATTAAAATGGATGGTGTCTGGAAGCCCAGAGCTCCCCTCCCCACCCCCACACCTCTCTGGCTGTCCCTCGGCCCTTAAGGATCTGGGCGGATGCTGCATTTCCCTGGAGTGTCTGACTCACACCTCCCCGAAGGCTGAATTGGACTAGGACCGAATGGCCCAGTGCACACCTATGGCCAGCCTTGGGCAACCTGGGCTGGGGGCCCCAGGCAGGGCTCCTCCTGGCTCCCAGCCTGCCAAAACCCTCAACCAGCCTGAGACTCAGGTAGGCAGGCCTCCACGCCCCCCTGCTCACAATCCCACCCCCTCAGGAACTCAGGAATTCTCCTCGACCAACTCTGACCGACCAATTCTGACCGTCCGAGGAAGGACTCTGAAGTTCTAAGTCCCCAGTGACCCTGTAGACTTCTGCCCCCAAGGCACCCCCCCCCCCCCCCCCCCCTCCCCATTCCTCGACTTCTCAGTGTCCCAGGTACCCAGCGTCGGTACCTACTTTGCCCCCAGACCTGGCCCCAGCGGGCCGGCAGCAGCGGCAGGCCGAGCGCCAGGAGCAGCCCCAGGCCGGGGCGACGGGCTGGTGGCATCGGGGACGGGGCTTCTCGCGCGCGCAGCTCCTACCGCATCTCGGGCTGGCGGTACCTGCGGCCCGGCACCTGCGGGCGGGAGAAGGAGAAAGGCTGGGACGTGGGGGAGGGGGCTGGACCGGGCGCAGGCCCAGAGGAGGGGCGACCCGCGCCGGGCACCCTGGAGTCCCGCCCCGCCCCCGCGGCCAGAGGTCAGAGATTAAAGATTAACTTGGGGCGGCGCGTTCCTGGTCTGGGGAAAGGGGAGAGGAGGGGGCGGCAGGCCACGCCGCGCACCCTGCCGCCCTACCTGGCCCTGGCGCCTTCGACTTCGCTCAGGTTCTCGATGCAGGTCCCTCTCTGGACCCCTCGGTGCGTCCGTCGGTGGCTCGATCGGGCTCCTCCAGCTCCGCCCGCTCACGTGACCCGGAAAGTTTAGTCACTCACCTGGGAGGGGAGCGCACTTCCGGCTTGTGCACCTGAGCCCAGATGAGAGGGCGGAGCCAAGCTGGGGGGTGGGGCCGCGCAGCAGGCGCACCTGTAACAGGAATCCAATCCTATAAGGGGGAGGAGTCAAAAGGGGCGGGAGCGCGCAGGTTTCAGAGGGACCTCCTACCTGGATGGCGGGCGCGTCTGTAAGATCGCACAGGTGCGGAGACACCCTGGGCACGGAGACATCGGGGTATGAGGCACTGCTGTCTGAGGCAGACTCGGATGGGGAGCCTCTGATGAAAAAACACCCGGGTGGTACACACCTGCGTGGGAGCAAACCTGTATGGAAGACCTCTGCATTGAACCATATCTATTTGGAGTATAGCTGAATGGAAGCACACCTGTGTGGGGAACAGCTGTAGCGAACACACCTGCGTTATAACACCTGGGGCCAGCCGGGTGACACTGGTTAAGTTCGCGCGCTCCGCTTCAGCGGCTGGGGGTTCGCCGGTTCAGATCCTGGGCGCAGACTTACACACAACTCAAGCCATGCTGTGGCGGCGTCCCACGTAGAGGAACTCGGGACGCTTACAACGAGGATACACAACTATGTACAGGGCTTTGGGGAGAAACAAAAAAAGGAAGGTTGGCAACAGATCTTAGCTCAGGACCAATCTTCTTCACCAAAAAAAAAAAAAAAAAAGACCACCCTGACATAGGCTACAGCTGTTTTGGAAACACATCTGTATTCCCACTTATGAAATGAACAATACTTGTGTGAGGAATTCCTGTGTGAAAAAGTGTTGGAAAGACCTGTATGAGACACACTTGCATTTAAGTAACCTATTTGGGACCCAATTATATGGAAACAGAACTATGTGGCTTAATACTCAACTGGAACACACCTGTGGGGGGGCCGTATCATGCATTCCTGTTGAGAAACATCCCCGAGAGGTGAAGGAAACAGCCTCGTCTCAGGAACATCTGCATAGAATTGAGCTCAGATGAGCGGAAGACCTGAGAACGTCTGCATGGGGCTCGCTCACACTGAGGCACATCTGGGGGCGGGGGCGGGTCCGGGCGCAGCAGGACACAGGCTCACCTGTACAGAGGCCCACCTGTCGAGGATGCACTTGTGAAACACCTGTTTGGGGCATCTCCTTGGGAAAACATCTGTATCCTCCATGTTGTAGGGCACCTGGAAGGAGCGCCTGTGAATGAAAACATCCGTGAGGGAGGGGACGAGGCTTGTTTGTCTGGGACGCACCTGTTGGAGCACACCTGTCTGGGCAGAAGGTGAGTGGGAACCAAACGCGCCTTCTTCGCAGCTGTGCCTTTGCATAGAAGACCATGATACTAAGACGTCTCCCTCCTGGGTACTCCAGAGTGACAGTTAAGGAATATCAGTCGCTTCTCGGGTATGGCATCGTGGGTCAGAATCCCATGTCTGCTTAAATCTCCGCTTTGTTCCTTCCTGGGCGTGTGGCCTGGGGAGAGCAGCTTAACCACCTGTTTCCTCATCTGTGAAGTGGGAAAGCCAATCCCACCGACCTGACAGGGTTTGGGCGAGGACGATGCGACAGGTGAGTGAAAGGTCTGGCACCGAATTCACGTTACTGTTCATTATTATTATCAAGCGGTCTGGGCGCCCCTCCCCCTAACGGTGAATCGAGAAACTGCGCCCGAAACCAGCGGGAGGGACTGTCGGCAGGTGCAGGGAGCGCGACAAGCTGAGGCCCCGCCTCCAGCGCTCAGCCCCTCAGTCCTCATCCCCAGCCGCGCCTGGGACACTGAGACCCTCCAGGTTGGTCCGGAGAGAGCAGTCAGCCGGGCATCTGGATCCGGCCGCGGCCCCTTTAAGGCTGCGAGGCGAGCCCGGGGCCGCGCAGCCCCAGGCAGCCCCGGGGTCAGCGGGGAGGCCCCGCCCAGGTGGGTGGGCGAGAAGGGGCGGGCGGGCGCAGCGCTCGCGGCTCTGGCCAATAGGAAGCCGACTCGGCAGCCGCGCCGCATGTTGATCTTCCGTTTCCCTGTCGGAGAGGGACCGAGAAAGGAGGCGCGCGGGCGGGATGAAGGCGGAGAGGGAGAGCGCCGCGTCTTGATCTTCTGTTTCTGTGGCCGAGTCGGGAATGTGAAATGAGCGGGCGGGCAGGTGGAGGGGTAGATGGCGCAGAGTCGGTTCTTGAGAATGTCTGGGGAAAGCGAGAACTTTAGTTCCTGAAGAGGATTAGGAGGGAGGGAGGTTAAGTGGAAGGGGATTACGTAATCCAATCTCTGACATATCCCTACCCTGCCCCCTTGGGCAGAGGGTAAACTGAGGCACGCAGAGACGGAACTCTAAAAGCAGAACTGAGACTACTGGTCTCTCTCGCGCCTCTTCCCAGAATGAACCCCGGTGCCCCCTAGGCTGTGCAACACCGGAGCATCCCTGACATCTCTCCGCACACCACCCCCCCCCAGCACCGCCCCCAGCCCCCTCCCCCCAATGCGGGTCGGGGGAGGAGACGCAAGTTCTGGAGCGGGCGACGACGGCTAGCAGTCACCGCCTCCTGCAAGTGCCAGAGCCAGGCGGGCAGCGCAGAGGCTGCGGTGGCCGTGGCCCCGGAGCTGGCCCTGCGGGGCCCCTGGGGGGGGAGGGGGAACCGCCAAGCCCCCGCTGAGGCCGCCGCTGCCGGGCCTCCCCTCCCCCCCGGGCGGGCGCCATGCGGGGGGGCCCGGGCGACGCGGAGCGGAGGCAGCGCTGGAGTCGCCTCTTCGAGGAGCTGGACAGGAACAAGGATGGCCGCGTGGACGTGCACGAGTTGCGCCAGGGATTGGCCCGGCTGGGCGCGGGCGACCCGGACCGCAGCGCCCAACAGGTATCCCCACCGGGACCCCCGCCTGGCGCGCTGCGCTCGGGTCCTGAGCGCACCGGGGAACGCGAGCCCCTGAATGGAGCGCCCGGACTGCCGGTGGCTGGACTCCGAGACCTGTGCCCAGCCTGGGCGTCTCTGTCCCCTTCCCCCAGCCCACCCGTGTCTGGGCCTAACCCGACTCTCTCAAAACAGGGCCACCGAGGCCCCAGGCCTGCAGCTGGGCTGCCAACACCCGGTCCCCTCCCTCCCCGGGGGTGGGGGATGTCTGCCAGGGAATGGAGCGGTCAGCTTTCCTGCCCACTTCCCTGGACACACCCTCCTCTGAACTCTTTGCACAGCCCAAGACACGGCCTGCTCCCACTTCCAGGAGACACGCCCGCCCCTCCCACCTCCCCCTCCTCTGGGCAGCACTGCCCTCCCGGCCAGCTGCCCCAGCCGCTGGATTTACATTCCCTCTTCTGCCCTTTCCTGTGCCTGTCTCAATGCTCCAGGCTGCCCAAGCGAAGGACCAATCCTGCCTGAGACCACCCTCAGTTGGGGGTGTACCTGTCAGGCAGGAACTTGTTCCGGAGCCCATGCCGATGTCCCCATACACCTGTAGCCCCAGATGCCCCTGGAGCAGCATCCTAAGGTCTCCCGTCCAACCTCCCACATTCCAGATGGGCAAACAGAGCCCTCGAGGCTGCTCTGCTGTGACCTGTCGCTGCCCCGAGCTGTCTCTAATAGGAGCTCCCGAGACTGCCATGTGGACAGGTTTTTATAAGAGCCAGCTGGGGAGACAGGCTTGCAGAGACAAGAGCCCATGGCTTCCTACCACTCCCCAGCTCTGTAACCTTGAACAAGGTTCTTGACCTTGAAGAGCCTCGGTTTGCTGGCCAGGAAAATTGGATGACCGCTGTGCACCTCACAGACCTACTGTGGCAGTGGGCAGCTTGCTGAGCAGCAAGCTGGTGGAGGAGGGGGTGACTTCCCCCGGTCCCTGTCCTCTAGGGGCGGAGGGCCCCGGGTTCCTGGCGTATAAGCTCATCATGCTCCCTCCAGATCGGGGAGCAGACTCCTGGAGCTCCCTCTGACCCTTCTCCCCTGCCAGGGCATCTCCCATGAGGGCGACACTGACCCCGATGGTGGGCTTGACCTGGAGGAGTTTACCCGCTACCTGCAGGAGCGAGAGCAGCGTCTGCTGCTTCTTTTCCACAGTCTGGACCGGAATCAGGACGGTAAGGCCCAAGGATGGGGCTATGCGGGCCCTGGAGACACCAGCGGGGTGAGAATTGGCAGAGCTTGGAGGAAAGGGGAGGGTGACATCTCCCTGATGACTCATAGGCTATTTTGGGAGCTCTCCTCACCCCCACCTAGGTAGTTCGGGGCCCAGCAGGCCCATCGCACCTCCTTTCCCTTCTGGGGTGGGACCCTTATTATTATCCTTATTTTTCTAAGGGATAAAGATCCCCCGCTATGGCTCCTGGGTCTCCTATAAGACATAGACACCCCTCATAGCTTCTTCTGGGTCCCCAATATTGCCTCACGATGCCCTGTGACATAGAGACCCCCATCATTATTTCTGGATTCATTTTTTCATTCATTCATGGAACAGAGGACCACCCCCCAACATTGCTTACTTCCACCTTTCTTATCCCAATGGGTCAGGGACCCCCCACCCCCACCCCTCCTGCAAACCTCACCCTGGGGTCCCACCTCCCCTGGTCTTGCTGGACCATCCCCATTCCACGCTGTCCTGCTCCTCATTCCCAGGGTCCCCACACACACCCCCTTCCCACCTCGGTTCCCCTCTCCAGGTCATATCGATGTCTCTGAGATCCAGCAGAGTTTCAAAGCTCTGGGCATTTCCATCTCGCTGGAGCAGGCGGAGAAAATTCTGCACAGGTGAGTAGCTGGGGGTCAGAATCCCAGGATCCCTCAGCCACCTTGAGCCTCTGGACCCCAGACCCAACGCAGGGTGGGGGGAGCCAGGAAGCTGGGCTTCAGAGGCAGGCAGATCTTGGGCCAGCCTCTTCACCTCTCTGAGCCTCAGTTTCCCTCTCTGTGAAATGGCAAGCTTTCAGTGCAGAGGATCTCAATCGACCCCCAAAACCGACGGAAACCTCACTCCAACCCACCCCCAGCCCCAGGCACTGATTCTGTCCCACTCTCCCAGCATGGACCGTGACGGCACCATGACCATCGACTGGCAAGAGTGGCGAGACCACTTCCTGTTGCATCCGCTGGAGAACGTGGAGGACGTGCTCTATTTCTGGAAGCATTCCACGGTGAGGTGGGGGCGGCCTTCCTCGCCTGGGGGCTGGGCTCCCTTCCCCCCTCCCCGGGGGCCTTGCTCTAGTCTCCCCAGGACAAGGAAGGGCTGGGTCAAGACTCAGGAGGAGGAGCCACTGGGAGCACCCAAAGGATGAGGCTCAGTTCCTGTCCTCCTCCATTTGGGGCTCAGGGGACCCCCCCCCGGGGAAGTCTCTGCTATGGGATTGGAGCCCTGCAGACTTACTGTGGCGCCTCTGGGGACTGGCTGTGGGGCATCTGGCTCCTCACAACCCACACAGCTGGCCTTGTTCTGGTTTCTGTCTGCCTCAGCAAAGGATTCTGGGACTGGAAAGACAAGTTAGAGATCCCCTATCTTCAGAGGGTCCAGTGGGATCCACCAGAAGGTGGAGGAAGGAGATGTCTAGATTGCCATTTCCTGGGTGGAAATCCCTGGGCGATGCTTGTGGCAGGATCTGATGGCCTCTGGAGGGGATCCATCTGTGGGATCTGGTGAGATCCTCTTGGGAGATCCAGAGATTCTCACCCTGGGGGACCCAAGGAGGGGTCAGTTTAAAGTCTATAAGAGGACTCTGGGGTGGGGGGTGATCTCTGTGGAGGGGATCCCTGTGGGATCTGGTGCGACCCCAGGAGGGATCTGCTGAGCTCCTTATGTGCGAGGTCCCTGGTAGGATCTCGTGTGGCCCTGGAGGGATCTTTATGGGGCAGAGTCTTGGGTGGGATCTCTAGGTGCAATTTCAGGGTGGCCCCTAGGAAAGATGTTGCCATCTTATGTGGGAGACTCCCATGTTGGATGTTTCCATGGGATCCGGTCAGAGTCCAAGAGGGATCTCCTGGGCTCTCCCAGCAAAATTCACTGGTGGACTTTCTGGGGGGCCTGGAATTCGCGGGGGAGATGCCCCCATTTAGGACTGCATGACACCCCCAGCCCCTGCCTCTTCAGGTCCTGGACATTGGCGAGTGCCTGACTGTCCCCGACGAGTTCTCAGAGCAGGAGAAGCTGAGCGGCATGTGGTGGAAGCAGCTGGTGGCGGGCGCGGTGGCGGGCGCTGTGTCTCGGACAGGCACCGCCCCTCTGGACCGCCTCAAGGTCTTCATGCAGGTGAGGGGGCCTGGAGGAACCCCCACCTCCTCCTGGGCCTGGGCCCCCCGGAGGGGACCCCAAGGCCACCTCGTCTCCCCGCGCAGGTCCACGCCTCCAAGACCAACCGGCTGAATATCTTGGGGGGCCTACGGAGCATGATCCGAGAAGGGGGTGTGCGTTCCCTGTGGCGTGGCAACGGGATCAACGTGCTCAAGATTGCCCCTGAGTCGGCTATCAAGTTCATGGCCTATGAGCAGGTGGGGGCAGGCATGGGGAGCCGGGGGGCTGCACAGGAGGAGCTGCAGGATTGGCTGGGGGTGTGGGGGTGTCTGTGGGTCCCCGGGAGTGGGCATCTGCTCCTGCATGGCAGGCTCAACCCTGAGGTCCTACCCACCCATCTCTCCCACCCTCAGATCAAGTGGGCCATCCGGGGACAGCAGGAGACGCTGCACGTGCAGGAGCGCTTTGTGGCTGGCTCCCTGGCTGGCGCCACGGCCCAAACCATCATTTACCCCATGGAGGTGAGAAGGAGGGACCATGGCAGAGACCCCATTGCAGGATGGGGGACCTGCAATAACCATATCATGCTGTGGCGTGATAAGCATTGGGATGGTAACTTTCCCTCTTCTTGATTCGCACTGCAGCTCACTAGAGCAATGCTGTTTCATGTGTCATCTGTCCGGGGATCACAATTTGGATTTATAAATGAAGTCTGGATGTGCAGTTCAGGGCCAGTATGGTGGCTTCAAAGTGTTAGAGACCCAGTGTCCTTCCCTCTACCTTGTTGTTCTACCATCTCAGCATGGAGCACCCACCTCATGAACCAAAATGGCTGCTTGGGCTCCAGTCATCACAGCCACATTCCAGTCAAGAAGGAAGAATAGACAAAAGAAAGAACACCTCCCTGCCTTTAACGATGCATTTTGAATGTCGCACATACTTCTCCTTCTTCTGTTTCGTTGGCTAGGACTTAGTCACATGGCCACACACCTAGGGAAACGGAGAAATGTAGTATTTATTTCTAGATGCTGTGCGTTTGCTGAAAATTACAGTTTCTATTATTAAGGAAGATGGGCCAAGATATTGAGAGACAGTGAGCAGTGGCTGCCACATGCGACTCTGAGAGGTGTCACCATCTAAGTATAGAATTTAGGGATCATAGAAGATTCTAGAGAAACTGAGGTTTTTTTAATTCACTTATTTTCTGGGTATCTCCTTCCAGGAGTAGCTATTTCTAGGTGTCCTCATTCCTGGAATTAGTGATGGTGGAGTTAGCTTTTCCAAGGAAAACTGGGTTCTCCCCAGGTGCTGAAGACACGGCTGACCCTTCGCCGGACGGGCCAGTACAAGGGGCTTCTGGACTGTGCGCGGCGGATCCTGGAGCACGAAGGGCCCCGCGCCTTCTACCGTGGATACCTGCCCAACGTGCTGGGCATCATACCCTACGCGGGCATCGACCTGGCCGTCTACGAGGTCTGTGGGCAGCCTGCCCCTCCCTTCCTTCTTCTCCTCTCTGGGACCTGTCCACGGGACACCCCCTTCCCATGGGGCTGACTCATTCAACCTCCAGAGCTAGTGGGGACAATCCTGGGGTGCAGAAGCGCCAAGGACATTGGGATCCTGAGGAACCCCTTCAGCCTTGGACTCCCCCACTCTCCCACCTCCTCCTGCAAGAACCTTCCATTTGCAGTTCAGCCTGCCAGGGTCTCAGGACACGTGAAAGCTGGGGACCCCCCTAGCCCATGGGATCACGGGAGCAGGCAAAGATGGGCTTCAGAATTGCCCATTTCCCCCAAAACATGTGTGGCACCCAGCTTCTCTCTCCAGACTGCTGTCATCTTCAGGGCCTGCCCATTTCGGTGTCTGCTCTCACCATAAAAAACCAGACCCGGTGACAGCATCATGGCATCTTTCTGAGGAGAGCAGCAACGGGAAATGATTGCTTTTTCTCTCCTAGCAGCTTCATTCATTGCTTTTCTCTTCTCCTGGTGGGACCACCAGATGCTCCCAATTCGCACAGCCCCAGACGTCCCCAGGCATCCCCTTAAATCTGTGCATCCAGGACAGGGCCAGCTTCATGGGGAGGCAACCTGAGCAGGCACCAGGGACCCCACAGTCAGAAGGGCCAGCTCTTGGTTCACGCCATATTGAGATTGCTAGTAATCTTTGAACAAAAGACCTCAAGTATTTTTATTTTGCACTGGGCCCTGCTAATTAGGTAGCTGGTTCCAATCGAAGAGACTCTGTGCCTGCCAGCCATCCCCGCCCCCCATACCATCCAGCATCTATGCAGCCAGCTGAGACAAGGACTTCGCTCATTCATTCATTTGATCATTCATTCATTGGCTTGATCGCTTAGCAACTATTTGTGAAGCGTCCATAGGTGCTGGGCCCCGCACCGGTCGTTCCAGATACGGCAACTGGTGTGAACATCACAATTCGCGCCCTCCTGGGGCATCCACTCCGATGAGCGAGGAAGTCAGTCAACCAGCAAATAAGTAGTTTCAGATCCTGATAAGTTCTCAGAAGATAATAAGACCAGATGTGTCATCGAAAGTAAGAGTGGGTGGAGGGGGGTTTAGGAAACCCTCTGAGAGGTGGCGTTGGAACGATGAATTGAGCACATTACCAAGAGCGGGTGTGGACAAGGCAGGGAGCACAGTGCGTGCAAAGCTCTGGGAGCAGGAACGAATTTGGCCTGTTGGAGGAGTGGCAGTCTTGAATTCCTAGAGCTGACTGAAGAGTTAGCAAGGACTCAGGGCTGAAGATAGATTTTGGGTTTATCCTAAATGCAATAGGAAGCCATTGAGGGTCATGAGCAGAAATAAGACGCAACCTTCTTTAATCCATTCTTCACCAAAAAAGGGAGTTCGGAGGTCTAAGCAGTTTGAGGAGCCCTGTGCCCTCTTGGAGTTTCAAAATCTACGTCAGTCCCTTAAAGGCTCTGAGAAGTCCCGCAGAAAAGTGATTTAACTTTCTTTTTTTCAGCCCGGTGTGGGCTGTACTTATCCAGTGATCAGAACGTCTTTTCAACAGAACAGCTCTAAAAACTCATTAAACATCTGTTTAGCAAGTGCTGTTCCAGACCCCAAAGAAGGCTATTTAAAATTGTAAGGGCAATAATGGTAAAAACTCTTGCTTCTTATGTTCCCATTCCATGCCTGGGCCAGACATCACTAATCCATCACCACATGGGGTCCCTCTCAACACAATTCTGGGCCGCCGTTATCAATGGATTAGAATTGACACGGGAGATGAAACCTGAGTCACTCCAGTGCCCAAAGCCAAAAAGACAATCCTGTCTTTGTAGAAGGCCGCCCTAAAGACCAAGGGCACAGCTCAGGACCCGGGTGTGGCTCTGAATGTCGATTGGCACCTTTATTTTGTGGTTTGGGGTGAATAACTTCCCTCCAGCCTCAGTTTCTCATCAACAAGTGGGCATTAGAATAGTACCTGTCTTGGTCTGAGGTCTTCCAGAAGCAGGGAGTGAGGACAAGTGGTTTTTCCGGGAGGTAGTAAGACAGGGAGGGGAACGGAGCCAAAACAGAGAGAATGTATTAGTCCCCTAGGGCTGCCTAGGCAAGTACCACAAACTGGGTGGTGCCAAAGAACGGAAATTTATTGTCACAGTTATGGAGGCCAGAGGCCCCAGTCAAGGTCTCGGCAGGGCCATGCTCCCTCTGAAACCTGTAGGAAAGGGTCATTCCTTGCTTCTCTCCCAGCTTCCGGTGGTGGCTGGCAATCCTTGGCTTGCAGACCCATCCCTCTAATGACTGCCTCTGTCGCCATGTGGCTGTCATCTCCCTGTGTCTCTGTCTCTGTTTCTCCCCTCTTCTTCTAAGGACACCGGTCATATTTAGTTAAGGGCCCACCCAACTCCAGGATGAACTTGTCTTAACTCATTGCATCTGCAAAGACCCTCTTTGCAAAGAAAGGCACCATCTGAGGGTCCTGGGGGTTAGCACTCCAACCTGTCTTTTCGAAGGGATGCAGCTGAACCCATAACAGCGCGTTAGGAAGCAAGGTACCACGGCGGGCAGGTGGAGGTGAATTCCGATGGAGACCTCGGGGAGGCAGCATAGAACGTGTGCCACCAGAGAGGAAGGGAGCTGGGGTATTGATACACCAAATCGGTCATTTGGAGGTTGCTTCTGGGGGTGCGCATTCCCCAGCACTTCCTGCCTATTCCTACGTGCTCAGAGCAGCTTTGCCTGGGACCAGAGAAGGTCCTCAGGCCGTGCTGTGGATGCTGGCAGCTGGAAGTGGGCAGATTTGAGCTGAAATGGTAAGGGATAAGGGTGGGGTGCCCACCTCGGAGAGTGTATGAGTCCCCGTGGCGGCTATAACTAAGGACCCCAAACTTAGTGGCTTAAAAGAGCATCCATGAATTATCTCACAGTTATGAAGGGCAGAGGTGCACCATGGGCCTCCCCGAACTAAAATCAAGGTGTCGCGGGGCTGGATCCTTCTGAGGTTCCAGGGGAGCATCTGTTTCCGTCCTTTTCAAGTTTCTAGTGATCTCCTGCATGCCTCGGCCGGTGGGCCCTTTCTCCACCTTCAAAGCCAGCAGCATAGCGTCTTCCACCCTCTCTCTGTCTCTCTGGCCTCTGCCTCTGTTGTCACATCTCCTTCTCTGACTCTTTCAAGGAGCCTTGTGATGACATTGGACCAACCTGGATGTACTCCAGGGTCATCTTCCATCTCAAGGTCTTTCACTTAATCGTATCTGCAAAGTCCCTTTTGCCACATAAGGTCCCACATTCACAGGTTCCAGGGGCTAGGGCGTGGACAGTAGGGGGCCCGTCATTCCACGTACCATAGAGGGTCGAGGTGAGAACTGAGTGAGAGAATGCAGGTAAGGTTTGCATGGCACCTAGGAGGTACTGAGTGCTCAGCTGGTACCGGCCGTGACGGGATCCAGAAGCCAATCAGCAGGGGCCTCTGAACCCGGGGTCCTGGTGTCGTTCTCCTCCAACCCACCCTGCTTCCTTCTTCACCCCTGCCAGACCCTGAAGAACCAATGGCTTCAGCAGTACAGCCACGACTCGGCAGACCCGGGCATCCTCGTGCTCCTGGCCTGCGGCACCATCTCCAGCACCTGTGGCCAGATAGCCAGTTACCCCCTGGCCCTGGTCCGGACCCGCATGCAGGCCCAAGGTGAGGCCTGGGCGGGAGGATGGGGAAGGAAAGATCTCAAGAGTTGGGTCCCACCTCCCCGTCCCCAGCTCCTCCTCCCGTGTAGACAGAGGTCCTCCTGGCTTTAGATGGCCTTGACTAAAGTCCCTACCTTTCTCTGGGCCTCAGTTTACCCATTTGAAACATTAGAATGGGAGCGCTTTATCCTAACTAGGAGAACAGAGGCAGCGGGTGCCGGAGGAGCTCCCCAGCAATCTTAGCTGAGAGGCTGCTATTGGCAGACGGCTGGCCGGCCAGGCTGGTAACTCGAGCTCTAATTTGCAAGGCTGGGTTATAGTGGGGGAGAGGCCAGGAACCGGGTAAGGAGGGGCAGGTCCAGGCTGCTTATTGTTTTATCATTTTTCTCTGTCTTTTTTTTCTTTATGGGTTTCTTTTTTTCTTTCCCCCTCCTCCCCCTGAATCTGTTTTGAGAATTTCCTCGGGAATATTTGTGTTTTGTGTTTTTTGCTGGGGGGGGTGGTTGCCTAAGGCTGGGTCCCCCCACCGTCACAGAGCTCACAGGCTGGGAAGGAAGGAAGATGCTGAATAAATCATTCCACAGTTAAGTATGGATTTAGGGTTGAATAAAGGGGAGAAGGAGGAGCCGGACTTAGACTGGGGCACCAAGGAGGGCTCCCCTCAAGAGCTGGCTTTCAAATGGAGTTTGGGAGGATGCGTAAGAGTTAGCTGGGAGAAGAGGAAGGGAATTGAGTTCCAGGAAGAGTAAAGTTCTGGGCCCTCTCCCACCACACACATGCATACCTGCTGTGTTTCTAATGGACCCCAAACTTGGGCCCTCCAGGTTAGGGTGCAAAGGTGAGCCGCCAATTCTAAGGCCAGTAGAAGTCCTGACGCTGAGTGGTAGGTCCTGCTTTTAGTCTAATCATCTTCCCTCTTGCTGCACTGACCATCTTGTCCAGCCTTGGGGGGGCAAGAGGGGAAAGTGAGAGGGGGGACCTTACCTGGTCTCCCACCCCCTCCCAGCCTCCGTCGAGGGCGGCCCCCAGCTCTCCATGCTGGGTCTACTCCATCACATCCTGTCCCAGGAGGGCGTGCGGGGCCTCTACCGGGGCATTGCCCCCAACTTCATGAAGGTTATCCCAGCTGTGAGCATCTCCTATGTAGTCTACGAGAACATGAAGCAGGCCCTGGGGGTCACGTCCAGGTGAGGGACCCAGAGCCTGTCCCCCACAAGATCCTTCACCTCAATCGTGATGCTCCCTACACCTCAGCCACTGGAACCTGATGGCCCAGCCAGTGGGTCCCAGGTCCCCCCACACTCAAACCACAGGTCCCCACACTTCAGCCACGGGTCCTGCACGCCCACATCCCAGCTACTTGATCCCGTGTTTTCTTGTCCCCGCACACACACTGGGTCCTGGACCTCCATGTCTTAACCACTGGATCCCCCACAACCCTGCTAATGGATCCTGATACCCCAGCCCCAGGAGCACATCACCCCATATCTGATTGCCCAGACCCCAGCTGCCTCAGGCACCAGATCCAGTGTCCCCACGCAGCACTGGATCCCAGATCCCCAGCCCCACTGGTGGATCCCAGATCCCTACGCTTCAAGCTCTGGATCTCCCAGCTCTGCCACTGGATTCTGGATATCAAGAAACCTCAGCCACCGGATCCTGACAATGCAATGCCTGGATCCCGGGGCCCCAACCACTGGATCTCAGATCCCCTCACCCCAACCACTGGATTCCTGAATTCCTTTACCTCGACACTGGGTCCTGGATCCCTCTGCTTCGACTGCCGGATCCCTACATTTCAACCACTACACCCTCAACCCCCAACCACTGGATCCCAGATGCCCAACCACCAACCCGCCAGATCCTAAAGCCACTGGCAGAGCGAGTGGGTCCTGGCCACCCTAACTGCTGGATCTCAGATCCCTTCGTCGCAGGAATCGGATCCCGAAACCTCACCCCTAGGAGGCAGACCCTGACACCTCCAGGCAATGGATCCCAACATCATAACCCCTGGTTTCTGACTTGAACCCCCCAAGCACTGGATCCTAACTGCTCAGACCACCAAGTCAAGATCCCAAAGGGCCAATGGTAGCATCCTAGAGCCCACGAGCCCCCGCATCAGGCACACACTAGAGCCCGGAGACCCCTCCCCATGACATGAATCCCATAGTCTAGGGAGCCTGCAGCTGGCCCAGGTCCTGGCCTCCCAGGTCCAGAAAACCCACAGGACTCGGCCAAGGTCCTGACCCTGCAAGCTGCCCCTCCCATGCCCTGCACAGACCCCGGATCCCCCCACCTCCCAGCATGACCACAGCTCTGCGCCCTATGGAGAAACTGCTCCCTCAAGAGCCTCCCCCCCACAACGCTCTGCAGCATCTCCCACCCCCGATAACAGCTGATAACCCTCCTCAGAGCCTGGGTCCCTCTGCGGGATCCAGTTGCTCCTTCTTGGTGGCTGGCAAAGAGGGAAACTGAGGCCAGGGACACATTAAGGGGACCCTCCGCAGGCTTCAGCGTTGGAAGCCAGGAGCAAGTCTATAGAGACCACCCTTCCCTAAACCCAAGCAGCCAATTATGCAAAAACAAACAGGCCAAATGCCCCCAAACTCACACCAGGTCTATTTTTCTACCAGAGAGGAGCAGACATCCCGCCCCCCAACTAACCCAAGCCCCCAGCCCACCCCCTACACTCTGCACTTTAGAGTTGGATTCTGAGCTTAGGAGAGTTGGGGGGCCCCCTCGCTCCACTCCTCCCAAGTCCTTGGGGAACCCCAGTAAAGGACTGTGAAAGAGGAACTGGGATGTTTGGGGGAGCTGGAGGGCCCCTCCCAAGTCTTCCCCCTCCCCCCACCTCCACCGTGGCCCACCTCCTGCCCGTGTGTGTTATTTCAAAGGCAAAGAACAAAAGGAACACATTTTCTAAGCTCTTCTACTGTGGTTTTTACTGAAAAGGGGTGGGTGGATGTGGGACCACCTCAAATGCCCACAGGGAGGGGTCGTGGGTCGTCACCCGTCACGCACAGTTCCAGGAGACCAGAAAATGACTCCCTCTTTGGGCCTCAGTTTCCACATCTGTAAATCGGGGGCACGGAGAAGTCCACATTCATGAGCCCTTCTAATTTTTCCTGTAGTTTTTTTTTTTTTTTTTTCCTAATCACACAGTGTGTTAGTTTCCTGGCGCTCCTGCAATAAACTAGCGCAAACTGGAGCTTACATTTTTTTTAGATTGATATATTTTTTTATTGTGGCAAAATATACATAACACTTACCATTTTAACCATTTTAAGTGCACCATTTAGCAGCATGAAGCACATTCACACGGTTGTGCCACCAGCCCCTCCATCCATCTCCAGAACTTTCCATCTCCCCAAACGGAAGCTCTGTCCCCATGAAACACTGACTCCTGCCCCTTCCCCAGCCCCTGGCCCCCCATCCACTTTCTGTCTCTGTGGATGTGGCTCCTCTGGGGACCTCCTGTGAGTGGATCACACAGTGTGTGTCCCTCTGTGTCTGGCTCACGTCCCTGAGCATCATGCCCTCCAGGTCCGTCCACATTGGAGCAGGTGTCAGGATCTCCTTCCTTTTCAAGGCTGAATGACATTTCATTCTCTGGATGGACCATATTTTGTTTATCCACTAATCTGTCAAAGGACACTTGGGGTGTTCCCATCTTTTGGTTATTGTGAATAGAAAACAACAGAAATTTATTCTCTCACGGTTCTAGAAGGCAGAAATCCAAAATTTAGGTGTTGGCAGGACCATGCTCCCTCTGAAAACTCGAGGGGCAGGTCCTTCCTTGCGTCTTCCTAGCCTCTGGTGGCTGCTGGTCATTCTTGGTGTTCCCTGGCTTATAGAACCACCACTCCAATTTCTGCCTGTCTTCACAGGACCAAACTTTTTCCTATGTGGACGATGATGTCTCTCCAAGGTGTCCGCCAACGACCTCTGCCTCTTAGTAGTTGCATTTTTTTTTTTTTTTTGAGGAAGATTAGCCCTGAGCTAACATCTGCTGCCAATCCTCCTCTTTTTGCTGAGGAAGACTGGCCCTGAGCTAACATCCATGCCCATCTTCCTCTACTTTATATGTGGGACGCCTGCCACAGCATGGCGTGCCAAGCAGTGCCATGCCCACACCCGGGATCCAAACCCGTGAACCCCGGGCCGCCGAAGCGGAACGTGCGCACTTAACCACTGTGCCGCTGGGGCGGCCCCAGTAGTTGCATTCCTGTGTAGTCCCCTCTCTCGTTGTACCAACATGGGTCTGTACAACCAAGAGAACACAGTTGTGCATCGCTTCATGAAGGGATCCGTTCTGAGAAATGTGTCACTAGGCGATTTTGTTGTGCCATCATCAGAGAGCGTGCTTACACAAACCTAGATGGTACAGCCTCCTACACGCTTAGGCTCTATGGTATTCATCTTACGGGATCAGCATCGTAAATGTGGCCCGTTGTTGACCGAAACATCATTACATGGCACGTGACTATACAGCAGAAGTGACGATACATTAATTCAAAGGTTAGGTTATAAAAAGACGCCACAGCTTGTTTGTGTCTTAAGCTATGGTTTGCGGGGGAGCGATCATTTGTTACGCGGCAATAGCTAACTGATACACATACACGTCATAGACATGATTTCTCACACACTCAAGTAAGGATCAAGCCTTGCTAACTATTTTGTATTTTTATTTCCTTTGAATTAGGTCCTTGGGATCAATTCCCAGAAGGGGAATGGCTGAGTCAAAGGATACGACTATCTCAGGGTTGCAGCACCAGAAAAACTGTGTGCAATATACACAGCTACAAACAAGCAATTGACATGACCAGTTTTACTGCAGCCATATCAGCACTGAGCGTTACCACTTACTTTCATTTAATCGAGCCAGCGAACATCCATTTTCTTGTCCACATTCCTATATCCCATTTCATGATGGCTGGGATCTAGAAGGCTCTGCTGTCTGATATGCAGTGTGACATTGGACAGGCTGCTTTTCTCTTTCGAAGCCTCAGATTCCCCCACCTGCAAAATAAAGGGCATTTCCACTGACATCTTTAAAGGCAGAAAAACTTACATTTATCAAGCGAGTACTATGTACCCTGGCTCTGTGCTCATCCCTCTAGTGTCTTATCTCATTCACTTATTCACGTATTTATTGAACACCTACTTTGTGCCAGACCCAGTTCTGGGCACAGGATACAGAAGGGCCTGAAACAGACAAACATCGCTGTTCTCACAGACCCTGCCTCCCAGTGGGGAGAGACGAATAATAAGAAACATATGTGAGCAACTATACAGCAGTGGAGAAAGCAAAGGCACTATGGGGAAAAATTAAGGACGGAAGGAGGGTAAGAAATCCTGCAAGGCAGAGTTTATGTTTTAAACAAGGTGGTCAGAGAAGGGCTCCCAGAGATGACATCTGAATACAGATTAAAAGATGGTGAGGGAGGGAGCCTTAGGGATGACTAGGGAAACAGCATGCCAGGCAGAGGGAACAGCTTGTGCAAAGGCCCTGGGGCAGGATCGTGCTTACTGTGTTGGAGGAACATTGAGGAGGCCTATGTGGCTGGAGCAGAGAGAGTGAGGGGGAAAGAGGGAGGAGGGAGGGCGGGGAGGGGACGGGGCAGGTCGTTTGTGGCCTGGGGGGCTGCGAGAAGGACTCAGCTTCAACCTAGAAGGACTCAACTGTGTCCCACCCCAGGAGGGAGCCTGGAGGGGTGTGGGCAGAGGAGAGCCAGCCCTGACTCAGGTGCTCACATGCGCCCTCTGGTGGGTGCTGTTGGGAAGACAGATTGGAGGATGAGGGCCGGAGCTGGGGACCGGGGCTGAGGCACCTGCACTGATCTAGGTGAGGCGATGACCGGGCCGGACCAGGGTGGTGGCCGTGGATATGGTAAAATGCAACCAGTTTCTAGATATATTTTGAAGGTTAAGTTCACAGGATTTGATGACACCGTGTGGGCATGAAACCGGGGAACCGAGGATGACATCAAGGTTTTTTACCCAAACACCTGGGAGGATGGAAGTGCCCTCAGAGAAGACTCTCACTCGATCCTATTGACAACACTAGGCCGTGGAGTTTACCGTTACTTCCAATTTCCAGATGGGGAAACTGAAGCTCAGAGAAGTAAAGCAGATACTCCAAGGTCACACAGCAAGAAGTGTCCGAGACGGGATTCAAACCCAGGTCCTTCTCACTCCGAACCTATGCCTGTCTTACTTTGGGGACCAACTGTGTCCCTCTCTCCTAGAGCTCCAGAGCCTCCCCATCCTCCTTCATTTCCATCTCCTATTGCCGTGACAACAAAATGCGGTGTGTTTCGTTTCCTATGGCTGCTGTCACAAAGGACCACAAACATGGTGGCTTGAAACAACACACATGTATTCTTCTGGAGGTCAGGAGCCTGACATGGGTCTCACGGAGCTACAATCAAGCTGTGCACAGGGCTGTGTTCCTTCTCCAGGGAGAATTGGCTGCCTGGCCTTTTCCAGCCTCTAAAGGCCTCCTGCAGCCCACGGCTCGTGGCCCTTCCTCCGTCTTCAAAGCCAGCAATGGCCGCCCAAGTCTTCCTCACATTGAGTCACTCCGATGCCTCCTCTTCTGCCTCCCCTTTTCCCTTTAAGGACTCATGAGGTTACATTGGGCCCACCCCAGTTAATCCAGAATCATCTCTCCATCTCCCCGTCAGCGGGTTAGCATCCTTAATTCCATCTGTGAAAGGAGTCCTCCCCTTGCTGAGGATGGACACCACACGTTCACAGGGGCGGAGGGATTAAGAAGTGGACTTTTTTGGGGGACAGACCCTCCCTCTGCCCGCCATATCCAGTGAGGTCACAAGGGCCTCTGTGACCTCATCAATTCCCTGGTACCCAAATTTACAAGATGCCCCTCCCACATGATTGCTAAGGATTTGAACCTAGATGTCTGGACCTTCCAGCTGCCATGGGGGCCCAACCTGAGGAAGCTCAGGGGCCTTTCTCGAGGGTCCAGACCCTGTTGAGGACAGTCAAGGCCTCACTCAGCAAAGCTGAGCCCCTGCCCCCGCCCCCACCCCCTCCCCCACCCCTCCCCTGGAACCCAGGCTGCACGCATGTGTACGGGTATGTGTTTGGGCACGTGGGTGAAAATAATTTGGAGCATCTCCCATCACAGCAGGTGAGCTTGGGAACCACGGGTCTCCCGGGACCCCCAGCCTGTCCCATCTGCATGGCCCACACCCCTTCAAGCAGACCAAGAATTCCACCTTGAAGCAGTGGGGCCTCTCATGGGGGGCGGTGGGGAGGGGGTTCTGGAGATGTGTCCGGCTGAGTCTGGGTGGGAGCTGGGTCTGCCCCTCAGGTGCTGGACACGGGAGAGCAGCTGATGGTCCCCGTGGAGGTCCTGGAGCTGGATAACGCGGGGGCCTTGTGGAAGTTTCTGCTCTCGGGAGCCATGACTGGGGCGGTGTCTCGCACCGGGACGGCCCCTCTGGACCGCGCCAAGGTGTACATGCAGGTGCGTGGGGAGCCCGGCCAGCGCCGGAGCCATCGAGGTGGGGATGGACGGAGGTGGAGCTGATGGAGCTCAGGCTGGGGGTGAGGGTGCAACTGGAAACAGGCATGAGGGTGCGGTTGGGACACGGGTTGGAGTTAGAAGATGCTGAATGGAGACGGGGTGGGAGCTGGAGTTGGGGTGACGACTCGATGCCCCGTGGGGATGGGGTGGAGATCGGGGAATCGGGGCTGGGGTCTTTGGATGGCTCTGATGACAAAACAGGACTGCAGAGGAGAGGAAGATGAGGCATGAAATGGGAACGAGGGTCAGTGTTGGGTTTGGGTCTGGCCTGCATTACACAATTCCAGCCAGGGAAGGAGCTGGAGAAGGAACGGGGATGGGAGCGGGTACGGTTGGGGTTGGGTGGCTGAGGACAGGATGGGGTTGAGCACCAGGCTGGGATGGGGATGGAGATGGGGAGGAGGGGGGGCTCCTCACAGAGCTGCGGGGCCTCCCTACCCCCAGGTCTACTCCTCCAAGACGAACTTCTTGAACCTGCTGGGGGGGCTACGGAGCATGGTCCAGGAGGGCGGCTTCCGTTCCCTTTGGCGGGGCAACGGTATCAACGTCCTCAAGATTGCCCCCGAATACGCCATCAAGTTCTCCACGTTTGAACGGGTAGGGGGATGGGCTATGGGCTGCTTTCTCTAGCCCACCCTCAACCCCAAACCTCTCCTATAGCCCCCTCCCCGCCACCAAAGCCCAGATCCTTATCCAAGACACACTTTCACCCTCCACGACCCAGACCTCTGCCCCTGGATGGGTTTCAGGTAGAAGGATGGTTAGCTCACACTAACCGCCTCACCACCTCACGCTCCTCTCTCCTGTCCCAGTGTAAGAATTACTTCTGCGGAGTACATGAGTCTCCACCCTTTCAGGAACGACTCCTGGCTGGCTCCCTCGCCGTGGCCACCTCCCAGACGCTCATCAACCCCATGGAGGTGAGAAAATCTCGGCCCCGTTGCTGAAACACGAGGAAAATTCATTGCCAGCTGCTGCTGCTGCTTCCTCCATCTTCATCTTCTTCCTCCTCCCCCTTCTCCTCTTTTCCTTCTTCACGTGAGATGCGTATCAAACGTTTATTCCAGATGGCTACCCAGTCACCAACACTATTTACTATTTACTGAATGATCTGAGATGCCACTTTTGTAATTGACTAAGTTCCGGGATATATTTGGGCTTATTTCTGGCTTTTTTCTTCTTGTTGCTCTGGTGTCTGTTCACGCACTAGTATTTTTAATTTTTAATGAATAGACTTTATTTTGTAGAGCAGGTCAACGTTTACAGAAAAATTAAGCGGAAAATAGAGGGTTCCCATATACCTCTCTCTCGATATATACAAAGTTTTCACTGTTATTAACACCTTACATTAGGGAGACCATTTATTGCAATTGATGAGCCAATATTGATACATTGTTACTAATTTATCACGCTTCAATCTCGCGCTGTATCTTTCTATGAGTTTTGACAATGTTTAATGACATGTATCCACCATTACTGTATCAGAGTAGTTTCACAGCCCTAAAAATCTCCTGTGCCCCACCTATTCCTCCCTCCTTCCTTTCCCCCAATCCCTGATTATTTTACCATCTGTAGAGTTTTGCCTTCTGTCTGAATTTATTTATTTATTTTTTTGGTGAGGAAGATTGGCCCTGAGCTAACATCTGTGCCAATCTTCCTCTATTTTTTATGAGGGATGCCACCACAGCATGGCTTGACAAGCAGTGCTAGGTCCACGCCTGGGATCTGAACCTGAGAACCCCAGGCCGCTAAAGCAGAGCGCACCAAACTTAACCACTACACCACTGGGCCGGCCCCTGTCTTTAATTTTTGAGGCTTGATATTGTTTTATCATTCTCCATCCCTGCTCTTTTTTTTTTTTAGTCAATTTTGCAGACTATTCTCCTCTGTTGATTTTTCTATAGAAACTTCACAAGCAACATGTCTAGTCGAGAAAACAAAATCACCTACTGGCATGTTTTACTGGGGTGGTGTTCAATTCATAAATATGCTTAGAGGTATTGCCATCTGTATGATGTTGGGTCGAATATCCAAAAACACTTCCATTTTCTCAAGTCTCCTTTAGGTCCTTTAATGGTCTTTTAAAGTTTTCTTCATATAATTTTCGTCTCGTTAAGTTTCTTTCAAAGTGTATTAATTTTCGATTGTTGCATAATAAATTACCACTCTTGGTAGCTTTAAATGATACAGATTTACTATCTCATTGTTTCTGTGGGTCATCTCTGGGCACTGGCTTGTCAGGTCCTCTGCTCGGGGTTTCATGAGGAGGAAATCAAGGTGTCGCTACTAACGAAGCCATCTGAGGCTCAGATCCTCTGCCAAGCTCCTGGGTTCTTGGCAGAATTCAGTTTCTTATGGTTGTAGGACTGAGGTCCTGAGCTCCTAGAGGCCACCCTCTGTTTCCTGCCATGTGGTCCTCTCCACAAGAGTTTACTTGTTTTGTTTTTTTCTTTAAATATTCAAATCCAGAATTTTTTTTTTTTAGGTATCCTTTTTGGTGAGGAAGCTTGACCCTGAGCTAACATCTGTTGCCAATCTTCCCTTTTTTTTTTTCTTCTCCCCAAAGCCCCAGTACAAAGTTGTATATCCTAGTTGTAAGTCATTCTAGCTCTTCTACGTGGGATGCCGTCACAGCCTCACCTGATGAGCAGTGTGCAGGTCCATGCCCAGGATCCAAACTGGGGAACCCTAGGCCGCCAAAGTGGAATGCGCAAGCTTAACCAGCCAGCTACGGGGCCAGCCCCAGTTTGCTTAAGACCAACCAGAAAGTGTCTCTGAGTCTTCCAATCTCTCTGACTTCTGGCTCTGAGTCTCAAAAGACTCTCTTTCAAAAGGTGTGCCTGATTAGGTATGGCCCACCAGGGACAATTTTTCCTGATTCACTTAAAGTCAACTGCTTAGGGGCCTTCATTACATCTGCAAAATCCCTTCACCTTTGCCATATCATGTAACCTGATCAGGGGAGGGATATCCCATTGTATTCACAGGTCCAGCCCTTGCTCACAGTGTGTGTGTGGGGGGGGGGGGGTGGATTAGAGCATGCATACCAGGGGGGTGGGAATTTTGGGGACTACCTTAGAATTTGGCCTACCACACTTGGTGTTCTGTCTTTTTTGCACCACTGCAGAGTTGCAAAAATTTTTATATTGGGGCATTTCATAAAAATTCCAAATTTTTGGCTTCTTTTGGGAAACTGGCAGATCTGGCCACCGAGGGCTCATACTTCCACGGTGCTATGTGTATGGCTGGTGCTAGGTGGAAGTTGCCACAGACCTCACTCAGCTCACATCGCTTCCCTTCCCTCTTGACCCCTGTCACCCTTGAGCTTCTGGCCGCTGGGCTGAGAGCACACACAGGCCAAGGGAGCTGAGGCTCTGGGTTTGAAACCCAGCTGTGCACATTCCTGAGCAGCTTCCTCGTTTGCAGATGGGACGGTGGCCACTGTGGAGGGTTCTTTGGGAGGATTAAAGCAAATAAGCCGTCTTACTCCTCACCCTCCCCAGGTGCTGAAGACACGGCTGACCCTGCGCCGGACAGGCCAGTACAAGGGGCTTCTGGACTGTGCCAGGCAGATCCTGGAGCGGGAAGGCACGAGGGCCCTCTATCGTGGCTACCTGCCCAACATGCTGGGCATCATCCCATATGCCTGCACCGACCTGGCCGTCTACGAGGTAGGGGTCCCTCGGGGTGGGGGCGGTGGGGGGCGTGGCACCGGGGGCGTGAACCCAGGCATGTAATGAGCTTCCTCCTGGCCCCTTTCTCTTGTAGACGCTCAGGTGCTTCTGGCTGAAGTCAGGCAGGGACATGCAGGACCCTAGTGGCCTGGTCAGTCTGTCGTCCGTGACGCTGTCCACGACCTGTGGCCAGATGGCCAGTTACCCACTGACTTTGGTGCGCACCAGGATGCAGGCCCAAGGTCAGCCTGGCCCTGGTGGCCCCTGCGCATGCCCCTCACCCATTGCCTCAGCTCTGGATGTTTTCGTGTCCCAAAACTGACCCCCAAACCGCCCACATCTGTTCCTGGCCACCTTTGCTGACACCCGAACCCACCACGACTTACACTCACCCCCAAATCTGATCCTGGCCCTCAAATGAACCCTACAGATCACTAAAGTGAACACCCATCTCTCGACCGGCCCCGACAACTCACCCCAATTACGACCCAGGTCCAAAACTCAAGACATATATTCCCCAAATGACCTCCAAACTTTTTCAAATCAGATCCAGCCCTCAACTGGCTCCAAAAGTCGAAATGGCTCCTAAATTGGCCGAATCTGACCCTTAGATGTCCCAAAATTCAAAACCACTTCCGCCACTACCCTGAGAACTCCCCAAATGTGACTTCCCCAAATGGACTGTCAGCCCCTAAACCAATTTACAAACATCCAAACAGGTGCTTAGCCCACTACCCTCATCTTGAAAATGTCCCCAAATGACCCCTTAGCACATTCTCCAAATCTCCAGATCTTAGAAATTCTCTCTCAAATAAGCCCAGATGTTCTCTAAGATGTTCCTGAAAGTGAGTCCTAAAATGCCGGCCCCTCACTCTCCCCAAACACCTTTTCAACTGACCCCAGGACCCTTGCCCCTGGCTTTGCCCTCATTCCCCAACATTTCAGCCCCTCCCAACCCCCACCCAGGAGGCTGGGTCGTCTCTGGCTGAGGCCCTGATCTTGCCCCTGTCTCCGCAGACACCATGGAGGGCTCAAACCCCACCATGCGTGGAGTCTTCCAGCGGATCCTGGCCCAGCAGGGCTGGCCCGGGCTGTACCGAGGCATGACCCCCACGTTACTGAAGGTGTTGCCGGCAGGTGGCATCAGCTGCATGGTGTACGAAGCCATGAAGAAGACCCTGGGGGTATAGACAGTGAACTAGGTGATACACCCTGGGCAGAAATGGACAGGAGGATCCAGTGTCCCTTGGCCCCAGTGAGCCCTCCAAGCTTGGGCCCCGGGGCAGTTTTTGTCAAGAGAAGCAGGCTGGGAGCCTGGGTCAGAAGATTCCTGGGGCCCCCTCCCCAGGGTGCAGCCGGGGACTAGTCCGGACTCCAGTTTGGCTCCTTGTGGCCTCTCCTGGCTCCAGGGCGAAAGGGTGAATGTGGAGACCACCAGGAGTAAAGAGATGGTTTCTGCTGGACGTGTCTGGGGATACTTGGGTGGAGGAGGGGGGCTGGGGACCTGGATGCCTGGGTCCAAGACAGCAGCTGGATATCTGAAATCTCTGGCTCCAAGAGGGGAGCTGGGAACCCGGGCTTCCTGGAGGAGGGCTGGGCCCCTCGGTCCTGAGTGGGAACTGGAAGCCTGGATGATGCCTGGCTCCAGGAGAGAAGTTGAAGGCTCGGATTGGAGCTTGGAGCTCGGCTCCCGGGACCTTATGTGAAGCGGGTGTGGGGTGTGGAATTAGGGTCTGGGATCCCTCGGTCCTGGGAGCGAACCAATGGCCCCAGACCCTTGAGTTCGGGAGGCAGCTGAGTCCGTGAGTCCTGGAAGGGAAGTGGGGGGCTCCAGATCCCTGGGTGGAAAGAGGAGAACAGGTACAGGGGATCCCTGGGTTTCCTCCTGCTCTCTGGCCACCCCCATCCCCGGAAGCACCCTATCTCCAAGGCCTCAAGCCGGCCACGTGCCCGGCCTAGCCAGCCAGGCTCCTGGGGCGCTAACCCAGACGTCAGGCCTGAATCCCGGCAGCCGGTCGCTGCCGCCCACGTCGGCTGCCATTCACTCCCGCTCCGGCTAATCCCCGCTAGCCTCCGGCGGCCGGCTCCGCCCCAATGCAGGTGCCCTTCCATTGGCTCCCACCAAAGCTGGGCACCTTCACTTCCTTCACTGCCATTTGTCCGAAGTGGTGTCAGTCACCTTACACCCGCCCCCGTCGCTCAGCCATTGGCTTAGAAGTCAGGGCTGGAAAAGGATTCTGGTTAACAGAAGAAGCAATCTAGCCCAAAGCCAAGCGCATCCCCCAGAACTCGTCGGGGATTGGATTAAATTGACTGCCAATCTTCACAACAACCGCCTTCCGCGTGTCCTCATTGGTTTGCGTACACGACTATCTCACCGGGCGCCCGCCCAGCCCGTTCAAAGCGGCCTTTCGCCAGGCCCGCTCCTTCCTGTCCGCTTGACTCTTCGGAGCCCGGCAATCCGGCTCTGAAGCCGCCCCGCGATTCTGAAACTCCCGCTTCATTGGGCCTCCCGGCTTCTCGGATCGCCTCGATTTGCCCTCCCAGCGCCGGCAGCCCGCAGCCCATTGCCTCCGAGAGCTGTCGGTCACGCGGCGCCTCCCGCCCACTGCGTCTCGCGGCGCTCCAATTGGCCGCCCGCCTCCGGAGCCCGCGATTGGTGTCCTGGGAGCGGCGGCCGCCTCCCATTGGCCTGGCGGCACCGTCCGTCACGCCGGCGGCGGGAGGGGCGTCCTTCTCCCCCCTCGTCGTCTTCCCAGCCGCTGGCTTCCCAGAGTGCTCCGCGGCCGTGTGGAGCGAGGCCTTGTTCCCGCGTTGAGCCGCCGCCGCCGCCGCCTCCTCCTCAGCTTCAGCCTCCGCGCCAGGCCCGGCCCCGCCGCGCCATGTCGGACTACAGCACCGGAGGACCCCCGCCCGGGCCACCGCCGCCCGCCGGCGGAGGCGGGGGTTCCGGGGGAGCAGGGGGCGCCGGGGGAGGCCCTCCGCCGGGCCCGCCGGGCGCGGGGGACCGGGGCGGCGGCGGCCCGGGCGGCGGCGGCCCGGGCGGGGGGTCGGCCGGGGGCCCCTCGCAGCCGCCCGGCGGGGGCGGCCCGGGGATCCGCAAGGACGCCTTCGCCGACGCCGTCCAGCGGGCCCGTCAGGTGAGGAGGCCGCGGGCCCGAGGGGCGCGCGCGCGCGCGCGCGCGGGCGGGGGAGGGGGCGGGGTCACGTGCGCGCGCGCGGGGTCGCGGTGGGGGGGGGCCGGGGCCGCCGCGGGGTCACGTGGGGCGGGAGGCCGCGGCCGGGGCGCCTCGAGGGCGGTTGACCCCTTGCAGGGGAAGGGGCGTTCGGGGGGGGGTCCCTCGGAGCGGCCCCGGGGTGTGCAGGGGCGCGGGGACTCACTTTGGGGGCCCCCGTTTAGGATCCACGAGGGTTTGCCCCGCTCTCCTGGAAGCAGAGGGTCTGTTTCCCGCGGGGAAGGTCTTGCCTGGCCCCCAGGTCCCCATCGGGGCACTGAGCCCTGTTTCCCCCCAGCCCAGCCCCATTTCTGCCCGCTCCCCAGGATCGAAGGACTTTGAGGGGGAAAGTTCTTCTTCTCGCGCCTGGAAAGTGGAAAGGGGACCTTTCTGCTGCCAGAGTGGCCGGGCACTTAGGCGATATGGAGAGGGTGGGCATAAGGGGCTGGCTCTCGTGGATGCTTCCGGTGGCTTGAAAGCGTGGTCTGTCTCTTTGGGGGAAGGAGGGGAGGGTCCCCTCACTGTGTTTCGAGGGGAGATGACAACAGAGAGGTGTCACATGCTGGTGTCGCTGACCGCCCCAGCTCCATTTGCGGCCTCCCCACCGCCCTGGCGGGGAGGAGGCCGGTGGCAGGCTAGGACTTTGCCGCCTCTTTCAGGAAGCAGACGATCGAGTGCGTTCTAGGGGATTGTCCCAGTGCCTCCAGGGCAGGGTGGGAGGTCCCGTTAGGTGGACGCCCTGTTTCTGCCCCGGGTCATCTGTGGCTTTGTCACCTCTGGAGTGGGATCCACCTGGGTGCTGACAGAGCTGAGCTGTCTTGTTTAAGAAGTATCTACAACTGGGGGGGGTGATGGTGGCGTCTGTTGAGGTGGGGTAGGGCTTCATTTGGGCATCCTGTGAGCTTCGGCTCAAAGTGTTAAAAAAGAGAAAGAGAGATGAAAAGATAGAGCTGTAGCTCATGGTTTGTGTTTTTCTGGAAAATTTGTAATCACCCCATAAGTAGACTCCTGTTTTGAGTTTCTTGGATTGGGGTTTATTTGAAGTTGCTCTTCTTGTGTCTAGAATGTAACATGTGGTCCAAAAGCATCTTTTGTTTTGGTCCAATGAAGATTTCAGGTGCCTTGAAGCTAAAACTTCCCCAAGATTTTGTTCCACAAATGCAAAGATTTTGAGGGTGAAGGAGGTAAAGGGAATGCTCCTGAGCATCCCAGAAGGACCGGCCGCAGTCACACTTTCTGGATCTCTGTGCTGGGCACTCGGGCAAGGAAGTGTCTGGAAGTTCTCCCTGGTGGAGATGAGCTGAGGAGCCTCCCGGGCTCCCGTTCCGTTTACCTCTAGGACGAGTCAGTGTGGGCTACAGTCTGGCCACAAACAATTTAAGTACAAATCACACAGAGAAAGGGAGTTTTGAAATTCCTGGATAGCTCTTGAACTCTGAGGCCTTAGATGAAAACTCTTTCTAGAATGTCTTAAGCAACAGTCTCTTTCTTAAATCAGGGGAAGGCCACTCCCGGGCCAGGCAGCAAGAGCTCTCGGGTTCTCCTGAGCCGGAGGTGTTCTGAGTTGATCTGGGCCCCACGGAGGATTGGTTTTGGTGGTAATTCTTCTGTGCTTGCAACTTTATTTCTAGATTGCAGCCAAAATTGGGGGCGACGCTGCTACGACAGTGAATAACAGCACTCCGGATTTTGGTTTTGGGGGCCAAAAGAGACAGCTCGAGGATGGAGGTAACTGCCTGCCAGGAGTGGGGCGGGGGGTAGAGAGCGAGGGGCCTTTGTCTGTGCGGGGTCCAGAAGACGGGAGGCCTGCTGCCATTTGGTCTTTGAAACCCTCAGCAGTCCCAGCTTTGTTCGTTCTTTTTGTTTGGTCTGCCGCCCTGACGTATCAGGTGGCTGAGAGGAGGGCAGGCTGATTGTGACCGGGTCTAAGTTGTAAGTTCTCCAGACCGTCCCTCCCCTTCTGGTGGGCTGGGGACATGCTGGTGGTCTTATCGCGGCCCCGCAGAAGCAAAGGGTGGCCGGCCCTGGGGCACGCAGCATGGCGCACAGGAGCCAAAAGGATGGACTCTGCGATCAGCCACACTGCTTTCAGCGGGGACCCCCTGCCCCCCAGGCGGGTCCCGCCCTCGGCTGGGGGGACTCGGTGCAGCCATTGGTGTGCCCCCATTATAAAGGGCTGCTTTACCCTGCGTGCCGGTGGCAGGGGCGCTGAAGTTTGGACCCCCTCTGGGCTGGGTCCCTGCCATGCTCCTGTCTCAGCTGTGGTGTTGGGGGAGGGGGATTGGGCCGGGACATGTGGCTCCAGCGTCGGGTTTGAGGCAGCTGGGGGTGGGTGGGAGCTTCATCTGACAGCCCCTCTCTCTCACAGACCAGCCGGAGAGCAAGAAGCTCGCTTCCCAGGGAGACTGTAAGTCCACCGCGCGACTCAGGCAGAGGGCAGCCTCGGGGGCGCGAGAGGCTTGTCGGAAGCAGGAGCTAGAAGCACTGAGCAGACAGCACTTCTCCTTTATGGAGGCTCTAGGTTTTCATCCTCGGGGGCCCAAGAGCTTTAGGGGTCCCGGAACCCCCAGAAATTGAGGCGGAGATACTGGGTGCATCTGCTGTTGGGAGGAGGGTCCCGTAGTGCTCAGGTGCCGGGGAAGCTCAGAAGCACTGTCACAAGTGCTGGTCGCCCGTGCGGGCAGGAGGACCTGGGGCCAGCAGCGCGCGGGTCCCAAAGAGGAGCCAGGCCAATCTTCCTTTCGCTTTTCTCTCTGCAGCCATCAGTTCTCAACTGGGACCCATCCACCCTCCCCCCAGGTGAGCTGAGCTTCTGTCCATTGTCTTTGGCCTGTCTTACCGACCTGGGACAGTGGGTCTGGGGTCTGCGCCGTTTAGGGCCTTGTCTCCATTGCTGGTCAACCACTGAGGGGGCGTACGGGCAGAGGAGCTGCATTCGTCCCTCGTACGTCCTTGTCTGGGCCATAAGAAGGAGGAGGTTCTGGTCATCAGCCGTGATGACATAGGGCTTGTCTCTGCGCCCTATTGCTTCTTTTGTGGGGTGGGGACATGGGAGCACAGACATCCATCTTCCTAGAGGAAGCTGGGGACTGGCCTTGGTTTTTGCATCTGTCTTCTGCAGGGGCTTGTTCCCTGAGCTGGTGGAGCTGGGGGTCTCTCCTCCCTCCCTGCCCCGATGACCTCGGTCGTCTGACTTAAAATCCTTTCTGAAAGACCACGTTGTTTGGTTTTTTAACAGGCTGGAAGTTTTGCAAAATAACGATAAAAACGACTTACTAGGAAAATGAAATAAAAAAGATAACTGAATGTTTGTCTTTTTTAAGTAAAGTCAACAGGTGTGAAATGACTCGATCAGATTGCCATCAAAGTGTTTAGGGCTTGCTCTCACCCTGAGTCAGTGGGGCAGCACCAGTCCAGGGGCCATGCTGCCCCAAGCCCAGCCTCTCGTGGCCCGGATGGGGAAACTGAGGCCTTGAGAGGTGGAGTGACTTGCTGTGGGGAGACAGAGCCCCGTGCCATAGTCAGACTCAGCTCAGGCCTGTGGGTTCTTGGTCCCATGTTAGAGGAAGCAGGGTCAGAGGCCATTGGTGTCGAGGGCCCCCAGGGGCAGGGGCTGTTGTGCTAGGAGACCGTGTGGCCCTTCCGTCCCCCTCCACTTCTTTTCCGCTTGAGACTGACTTTCATCGTCTGTCTTTGCAGGACTTCGATGACAGAAGAGTACAGGGTCCCCGACGGCATGGTGGGACTAAGTGAGTGTGGGTCACCGTGCTCAGGGACACCCATTCTCCACCCCTCTCGGGGCCAGGGTCTGGGGAGCACCTGCGGCCCAGAAGCTTTCAGTCTGAGGCCTCCCATGTTCTGCTCTCACCCATTCTCTCTGGGTTGGGGGCATGGCAGAGCTCTCCACGGGGAGCTACCCCCTTAACACCAGCGGGGCGGGAACCCCTGCTACTGTCTTCAGTGCTGTCAGTCTCTGATTTTCTCCCTTCTCTCCACCTAGTCATTGGCAGAGGAGGCGAACAGATCAACAAAATCCAGCAGGATTCAGGCTGCAAGGTCCAGATTTCTCCAGGTACGAGAGAGCCAGACTCGTGCTAGCATGGGCACTGGGCTGGGCCCACGGCAGGCTTAGGTCTCTGTGCTTTGTAAATAACCCCCTAACTCGCTGTGACTGGAGAGAAGTGACACGGGGGGCTTGTGTTTGTTGAGCGCTTTCTGTGTGCCAGGCTCAGCGCAGTAGCTCAACTGGTACAGCGCCTCGAGGCTAGCTGCAACTGTTGTTTTCTTTCATTCTACAATTGGCGGGGAGGGCTCTGTGGAAGATGTAGAATCGACAGAGAATCTGGTCCAGACCCTGCTCTGAAACATTTGGTTAAGCCGCCCCGTAAACTAAACTAGTGGAAAGTTGGCGTGAATACGTGAGGGTCGGGGGTGCGGTAGATAGAACAGCTTGGAGGGCTGGCCTGGGTTTCCGTCCCGGTTCTTCTGCTCACCTGCCTGCGCCTACTGGGCAGGGGTTCCTGAAGATAGGTCTAGTGCATGTGGAGTTGTTGGCTGGGAGGGGTGCTGTGATCATCAGGGGTGGGGGGAGTGGCCCAGGTTTTGGACCTTCTGGAATCGGCCTTTCCTTCCACTTTGTCTTTTTCTTTAAAAGTTTTGACTCCCTTCTGGACTCGAAGCTTCCTGACCTTAGCCTTGCATATTGCAGCCTCCCAGGTGTTTGGGGAGGTAAACTGATTTGTCAGGCTGCTGAGTGGCGGGAGAAGTGGCCGCTGGTTGTTCTGGAAGTTTCCTCACCCCCCTAGAAGGCCTTTCTAGTGTCCTCAGATCCAGGAAGGCATTGATCTTATTTCCTTTTGTCTCCAGACAGCGGCGGCCTGCCCGAGCGCAGTGTGTCCTTGACAGGAGCCCCGGAGTCCGTCCAGTAAGTCCCTGGCTGGGCCTGTCACCACGATGAGCGAGCGGGCAGCAGCCCTCTCGGTCCCTTTGAAAGTTGGGGTTGACTTGCACGCCATGGCCCTCAACCCCCGCCGTCTCCAGAGGGGTGTGCTGACACACGGATTCCTCCGCCTCCTAAGATCTGGGAAACCTGGCCCGGATTGCCGCAGACGCATGTGTTCCAGTCGCCTCCTTCTCTTTGAGCTGGGGGGCCGCTGGGCCAGTGTTCCTTCAGGTGATAGCATTCTGCTCTTCCCCTTCCCAGGAAAGCAAAGATGATGCTGGATGACATCGTCTCTCGGGGTCGTGGCGGCCCCCCAGGACAGTTCCATGACAACGCCAACGGCGGCCAGAACGGCACGGTACAGGAGATTATGATTCCTGCCGGGAAGGCTGGCCTGGTCATTGGCAAAGGCGGGGAGACGATTAAGCAGCTGCAGGTGAGGGGGTAGGAGGACAGCAGCCCCTTCCATCCCAGGAGAGTTCCCTTCCTGTGTGTGTGTCTCACATGCACACACACACAGGCACATTGACTGCTTGGCTGGAGTCTTTTGTCCTTGGGGTCGCGCCCGCCCCACGCGTGCGCCAGCCCCGGGAAGTCCCGTGGAAGCCCAGCCCTGACAGTCAGCATTACTTGCACAGGAGCGAGCTGGAGTGAAGATGATTTTAATTCAAGACGGTTCCCAGAACACAAACGTGGACAAACCTCTCCGGATCATTGGGGATCCTTACAAAGTGCAGGTGGGTGCACCCTCGGGGCTGGGGCTGCTGGAGAAGCGAGGCCGGCGAGTCAGCAGGGGTCTGCCTTTGCTGGAGACTATGATCGAGCGTAGGGTGGAGAGGTTTTGAAGAGCGCTGGCTTTGAAGTGAGCGCAGAACTCAGGTCCTGGTGCTGAACTCTTTCCTCTCAGTCGTTGGTGCGCGAGCAAGCGGCCTAAACCCTTGAGCTTCCGTTTTCTTATCTGGAAAATGTGGGTGCAGGTCGTGCCTGCCTCTCAGGGTGGCAGATAAAGTGCTCAGCCCACGTGTGTCGGTCCTCAGCCCCGTGACCCCTCAGGACGGGGGACGCTGGCGGGCGGGGGCAGCCAGACTCGCCACGTGCGCCATACCCTGTGTGTTTGCAGCAAGCTTGCGAGATGGTGATGGACATCCTTCGGGAGCGTGACCAGGGCGGCTTTGGGGACCGGAATGAGTATGGATCCCGGATTGGCGGGGGCATTGACGTGAGTACAGGCCTCCAGCCCATGGATGGAGGGCCTTGGCGTGGGGATGGCTCTTCTCCTGGCCGTTGGGCAGCAGAGGGCAGCAGAGCTGCCAGGGTAGAACCCAACTGACCCTGTGCCTCCCTCCCTCCTCAGGTGCCAGTGCCCAGGCATTCTGTCGGTGTGGTCATCGGCCGGAGCGGAGAGATGATCAAGAAGATCCAGAATGACGCCGGTGTGCGGATACAGTTCAAGCAAGGTCAGGGCCCAGCTCAGGAGATGAGCCAGGCGGCAGGGCGTGGGCAGCCACTTCTGTCCTTGTAGGAGCACTTAGGCTCCGTTTAGGCTCCGTTGCGGGCAGCTTGGCACCGCGGTTAGCCTGTTCAGCCTCTTTGCGGGGCCTCGTGACTCCTAGACCAGTCGTGAGGACGTGCTGTGTCTCCTTCCATGAGACAGCCACGTGAGAGTCCACGATGGGCAGACATTCCAGGTCCAGAGGGAGTGTTTTCCTCTGCCGTCAAGTGTCCCCTTCCGCCTCTCCACCCCATGGCCCCTCCCACCACGGCAGCCGGGGTGCCCTGCGCTGGGTCAGCTGGCTCCCCCAGCTTCCAGCTCCTGCCAGGCCTCAGGGAGCGGCTCTGGGTGGCAGGTGTGTGCAGGGCGGGCCTTCATTTACTCTTCAGAGATTCGTTGCTCTGAGTTCCGTGAGAGGCGTCCGTCAGCTTTGGGGGTGCCAAGCATAGACGGGAGCCTCAGCCGCCAACTGCCGTGGCTGCTCGGCTTCCTTCTTGGGAACTGAGCCCGCCGGCCTCCTTCCCGGCTCCCAAGTACGGGGCCTGCGGCTGGCGGCACTGAGTCTGAGCTATTTCAGACTGCCCCCTTGGCGCGGCAGTGCCCGGGGAGGCAGTGCTCTAAGGCTGTGGGGTTGTGCTTCTCATAAATCCCTCTCTCTGCTCTCTGGGTGCTTGCCTCAGATGACGGGACGGGTCCCGAGAAGATCGCTCACATAATGGGGCCCCCGGACCGGTGCGAGCATGCAGCACGGATCATCAATGACCTCCTCCAAAGCCTCAGGGTGGGTGACGGGGCCATGGGGAGGGGCTGGTGTGGGCCGAGGGGGCAGCCGGCCCTCCCAGGAGCCGGGCTGGCTTCCTGCCTTGATCCTCCATCTCTCTGTCTTGCAGAGTGGGCCCCCAGGCCCTCCAGGGGGTCCTGGCATGCCCCCAGGGGGCCGGGGCCGAGGAAGGGGCCAGGGCAACTGGGGCCCGCCTGGCGGGGAGATGACCTTCTCCATCCCCACGCACAAGTGCGGGCTGGTCATCGGCCGAGGTGAGTAGGGACCCCCCGTACCATGTGCCATCCCTCCCCCGCGCTATCCTCCCACCCTCCCTTCACTGCCTGGGACCCCCCCACAGGTGGCGAGAACGTGAAAGCCATAAACCAGCAGACGGGCGCCTTCGTCGAGATCTCCCGGCAGCTGCCGCCCAACGGGGACCCCAACTTCAAACTGTTCATCATCCGCGGCTCACCCCAGCAGATCGACCATGCCAAGCAGCTCATCGAGGAGAAGATTGAGGTGGGCTCAGGGAGGGTGCTGGGAGCCTGAGCTCGGCTCCTGTCTCCCTCCCTCCCCACTGACCTTGTCCCATTCTCCATTTTCCAGGGTCCCCTCTGCCCAGTCGGACCAGGCCCTGGGGGTCCAGGCCCTGCCGGCCCCATGGGGCCCTTCAACCCCGGGCCCTTCAATCAGGGGCCTCCCGGGGCTCCCCCTCAGTGAGTATTCTCTCAGCTTCCTGGGATTTGGGATGTAGGGGTGGCTGTGTTGGCAAGAAGAGCAACCGGCCTCGTTTCCTTTTGCCACTGAGAGGGCCATCCTGCCTTCTGGAAGTTCTCATTGTGCAGGCCGCAAACACGGCCGTCCAGCTCGTCTTACAGGTGCCGTATTTAAGCAGCCGTCAGTGCCGATCCTAGCCTCCTAGTGTAATCCGGGTATTTGAATTTGGGGACTCGCACGTCCTTGGGCGCACGTAGCTGGTGTCCTCACGCCTTTCTCTGGGCGAGGAGCCTGTGGCTCTGCGCAGGCCGTGGTCAGGGCCTGGCCCACTTCCTCCTGGCCATCCTGCCCCTTGGAGCAGCCCCAGCTCACCTGTCCCCCTCTTTCTTGCCCCGCAGTGCTGGAGGCCCCCCTCCTCACCAGTACCCACCCCAGGGCTGGGGCAATACCTACCCCCAGTGGCAACCGCCTGCTCCTCATGACCCAAGTAAGTAAAGCCGCCCGGGCAGGGGGCAGGACGGGGCCTGGGCGCCAAGGGGCCGCCCCTCAGCCCGCCCTTCCACCTCCCGCAGACAAAGCCGCTGCGGCTGCTGCAGACCCCAACGCCGCCTGGGCCGCCTACTACTCACACTACTACCAGCAGCCTCCAGGCCCTGTGCCCGGCCCCGCACCGGCCCCCGCGGCCCCACCCACCCAGGGCGAGCCCCCTCAGCCCCCGCCCACCGGCCAATCGGACTACACTAAGGCCTGGGAAGAGTATTACAAAAAGATCGGTGAGTGTGCGGCCGCAGGGGCTCCTGGCAGCCAGAGGGAGCGGGAGGGCTGCGGCCGGGCCGGCTCTGACCTCTTCGGGGCCTCCGCAGGCCAGCAGCCCCAGCAGCCCGGAGCACCCCCGCAGCAGGACTACACGAAAGCCTGGGAGGAGTACTACAAGAAGCAAGGTGAGCCGGGGGCCGCAGGGCAGGGTCGGGCCCGCTCTCCCCAGCCACCTGCACTCACCCTCTGCACCCCCATAGCTCAAGTGGCCAGCGGAGGGGGTCCGGGAGCACCGCCAGGCTCCCAGCCGGACTACAGCGCCGCCTGGGCTGAATATTACAGACAGCAGGCCGCTTACTACGGACAGACTCCAGGTCCTGGCGGCCCCCAGCCTCCACCCACACAGCAGGGACAGCAGCAGGCAAGTGGGAATTGCCACCCTCCTCCTCCTCCTTTTTCCTTCCAACCCCCGGCCACCGTCCATCCTGCCTTAGTGGGTAGCGCCGGAAATCCCTTCCCCTGCGGGGTGTGTCCTTGATGCCTGCAGCGGGGGCCGTGTGGCCAGAGGTCTCCGGGAGTCCCCGTGAGCCGGGGGACGTGTGCGCTGGGTCCACGAAGAGGCCTCCCTCCGCCGGCCCGCTTGTTCCTGTGTAACGCTGTTGTGATGCTGGGGGAGAGCGGAAGCAAACGCCAGGTGGAACTGTGGAACTGGTGGGTAGTCCTGGGGGTGGGGCAGGCCATCGCTCCAACATTGATCGCCGTCCTGGCTGCTAACTCGCTCACTCAAAATCTGGCCACTTGGGAAGAAAACGGATCTGTTTTCCCCTCTTCTGCATTACTTTTTTGGGTTTTGTTCTTTTTAGTCTTTATTTTTAAACCCACGATCTTTCCCCGTGTCCAAGTGACTGTGTGTGTTGCCGGCGGCCCCCGCGGGGGTCAGCCCTGGCTCTGGCAGGTCTCGGGGAGCCTGCCCAGGGGCCCGGCCTCGGGACCCCGCACTCCCTCCGCCAGGGCCTGGCTGCCTCTGCCTGCGCGCCCGCCTCTGTGTCCCGGTCTTGTCTGTGAAGTGGGCATGACGATCGCTGCCACCTTCCAACCTACCTCACAGGGGTGTTGTGGGGACACCGTGATCTCTGAGATTGTTCATGTTGTGATGCGCCGGGAGCCGCCCGCCTTCCTGAAGACAGAGGGCACCCTTCTCCCTCCAGACCCTAAGCGCTTCTCCCCCCCTCTCCCCCTCTCTCTCTGTCCTTCTGCGGCCCCTGCTTCTCTCCTCCCTGCCTTGGTGTCACTCTCTCTCTCATCAGGAGCCAGTCTGACTTCAGCCGAGTCCCCAGAGCACTTGACTAGACAGTTACAAACACATCCTTCCAGCCTGAGCTCACCACAGGCCCGGGAGAGGGGCTTCCTGGCCCCTGCTCGCCACCGTCCCCTCGTCTCCCGGCCCCACTCCCCTCCCCGTAGTGACCAATTCCTATCTCTTCCCTCTCCGCAGGCTCAATGAATCGAATGAATGTGAACTTCTTCATCTGTGAAAATCTTTTATTATTTTTCCATTTTGTTCTGTTTGGGGGCTTTTTTTTGGTTTCTTTTTTTTCCTCCGTTTGGCGAGAGAGCGACGGCTGCCGTGGGGGGTGCGGGGGAGCCCTCACTGTGAGTGGCTCGGAGGTCACTGCACGGGCAACGCCGGGCTCTCGCTCTCTCGCTCATTCTGTGTGTCTCACATGCTTTTTTTCCTTTCAAAATTCGGATCCTTATGTTGAGCCAGCCATAGAAGATAGCGAGAACTAAATCTCTGCAAAAAAAGAAAAAAAGAAAAAAAAATTTAAAAGCAAAACCTATAAAATTATATATATATATATAAAAATCTCTATACCTCCCCAGCCTTCCTGAAACTGCCTTTTTCAGGGGAAAGCAATTCATTTTCTCCCTCCCACCCTCGGCCCTCTTCGTGTTTTTAAAATAAACTTTTGAAAAGGAAACAAAGTCCCTCTTGCTATTTCTTTTTTTCTAGTTAGAGCTGGAACATTCCCTGGACCAGGTGTTGCTCTTGCAGGAAAGCCCCCCGCCCCTCAGTGAGCCCCTCGGCCTCTGCTCCTCCTCTCTCTCCTCCTCCCACCCCGCTCGGCTCCCCCCGCGGCCCCTCCCATCCCCCCACCCCCAGGACTGGTCTGTCGTGTTTCATCTGTTCAAGAGGACATTGAAACTGAAAACAAATTGAGAACAAAACAAACAAAAAAATTGTATGGCAGTTTTTACTTTTTATCGCTCGTTTTTAACTTCACAAATAAATGATAAAACCTCCCCGTGTCTGCTGGGTGCCGTCTCTCTCTCTCTCTCTCTCTTTTTTTCTCCCTTTCTCCTTCTCCCCCTCTCTCCCCCCTCCTCCCCCTGTAGAGTTTTGAAGCAGCTGTTCGTTCTTTATAGATGTTGTAAAAGCCTGATAATGGTGATTGGAAATTACAAGCTTTGTGTTGTGTTTTACCTTTTTTTTTTTTTTTAAGAAAACAGAATTACAAGAGAAAATAGTTTTTTGCAGGCGCGTTGTGCTTTCCTAACTCCCCCCCACCCCCCCGTTTTTTTTTGGTTAAATAAAAGTGCTTTTTGTCTAACGCTGCGTGCTGGCCGCAGTTGTGTTCATAGAGTTGAAGTGGAACGAGGCTGGCCGAGGAACGTGGGGTCTGGCCCCCCAGAGACTTGCCCCTTCTGGTCTTGCCCTGCAGGAAGGGAACGGGCTGAGCCCCTGCGGTGCAGCCTTCCCCCATCCTCCTTAGCCCTCTGGGGACTTGGGGAGCAAGGCACCCAGGGGCTCCCCAGGGACAGGTGTTCCCATGGCTGCAGTCTGCCACCACAGCAAACCCAGGCCGTGCCTCACGGGAGTCGACCTGGCTGTGGCCTATTTCCTTAGCGAGCCTGAGGTGGCAGCCTGGCCTGTGCATGGCAATGGTGCGGTTCCAGTGCCTGATGGCAGGCCCTGGCCTCCCAAGGACGAGGAGAGAGATGGGAGAGGGAGCTGAGGGGCCACCTGAGCTGTCTGACCCGGGCGCGGTCATCTGGAGGCATCCCGTGTGACTGGAGTGTTCATTTTGGACTTGTGGTTGAATAGCAACGCTTACAAGTGAGGTTTCACACTGAGAATCGGGGTGCACAGCAGCCCCCACAACCTTCCAAGTTTGTTAGCAATGTGTCCAATGGGAGTGTTTGTTGGTGGCCTGCTTCCAGTCGGGCCAGGAAGAGGGGTGCTGTCGCTCTGGGGTCCCCTGGGCAGTGGGCTCAGATTAGAACCCGGGGTCCCCTCCCCAGACGTCTTACCTCCTGGGCACTGTGCCCCCTGATGAGCCCCGTGCGGGTCCCCAGGGGACAGGGAGGCAGAGCCCCCACCGCCTTGCCTCTCACTGCAGGCTTTCGATGACGGAGCAGCACTTAGCAAAAATGTTTTCTGGAGCTTCTTCTGCCAAGATCTGGGGGGGAGGAGCAGGAGGGGTCAGTTCAGAGTCACAGCAGGGACACTGTCCACCCCTCTGACAAGGGGGAACAGGTTCGCAGGTCTATCAGGTGCTGATAAAGAAGCAGGAGGTGCAGCCCCAGGGCCGAGCAAGTGAGGACAGAGGGAACTGGGTCAGGAAGGCTGCAACACAAGGCCACGTGTTACTAACGGCTGGTCACTCGGCCACAAAAGCTGTGCGGAGAAGCTGTCCCTCGGAACAGGCCACGGGAGGGAGGAGTGTGCGGGGCCTCGCCCAGTGGCCCTTCCGTCCCGTCCTCGTTGGCTGGAGCTGGTTCCACGGGGCCTCGCAGTCCCTCAGCAGCCTCACCTCACTCACCTTCAGTCGGGATGGGATGGGAGCATCAGCAAAGTTCCCCATCTTCCTAACAGTGAAAAGTACGGGAACTGGGGGGGGCGGGGGCTCCCCTAAGAATGAAGATATCCCTGTTTTCCACCTTGAGAATCTGCACGGCTGGGTTTGAGTTGAGCTGCGGGCCACCAGTTGTCATAACACATTTTGTAGACACGTTCTAAAATGTATTTAATTTTGCAGTTTGGGAGCCAGTCGTTCTCTTTAGACCTTAAACGTTGTCCTAGCTGGGAGGCCGCAGCCCAAGCCCCAACTGCCGAATGGAGGAAGTGGGATTGCCCTGGGCTGCCTCAGCTGCACCTGCCCCCCCGGGGCTGGGCGGTGCCCGGCAAGCAGGGGGCACCTACGTTTCGGAGCAGGTTCTTCTGCTGGTAGAAGGTCAGGACGGGCTCGCTCATGGTGTAGTGCGTCTCCAGGCGCTGGCGGATGGCCGACTCGCAGTCATCTGCCCGGCGCTCCACCTGGCCCCGGCACAGCGCTCTCTGGACCATCGTCTCCATGGAACAGTCAAACACGATGACGATGTTGGGGGCCCGGCCCACCTAGGCATCCACAGACGGGGCTGGGTGAGGAAGAGGCTGGTGGGCACGGTGGCCCCCTGTGCCCCCACAGAGGTGGGGAATCTAGGATTGTATGGGCTGGGAAAGAAATCGGGCCCCCCGAGTCCATTTTCTTAGTTCCGAGTTTTCGTTTGACATGTTTATTTTTTGGCTGGGTAGGACATTGGTGGAGCTCATAAGCCAAACTACACCTACAGGAAAGAGGGAAGTCTCCTTACTGTCCCCAGCCGCCCAGTTTCACACTCCCTGGAGGCAAGCAGGCTGTCTGTCTTTTGTGTCTCCTTCAGGAGCTATTTTAGGCATATAATGTATAAGCAAATCTGGTTCTCAAATTCTTTTTCCTCCTTTTTTTATATAAACAGTGAAGACTCTGCTTTACATGCACTAGAACTGGAGATGGTTCCATACTGGCACATTAGGAGGTTCCTGGTTCTTTTTAACCGCCATATAGTATTCTGCTGCACGAAGGTACCATAATTTACTTAACTAGTTCCTCATTGATGGGTATTTAAATTGAAAGATTCCTTTTAAGATGGATTGAAGCCATTTTCTCTTGCCTTCCTCTTGCCCAGACACTTTCACTGGGGAAGGCATGAGGGGCCCTGGCTCACAGCTCCACCCCACACCATCGATCTGCCCTCCCTGACCGGCCCCCCATCAGGGAGACCTTCTTGGCTCTCCAGGGCTGCCCACTGTGAGCTCCACCTCCTCCTACTTCCTCCGAAATTTTCTTATAGAACAGAATCCAACAGCACATTAAAAAAAATCACAACCGGGGGCTGGCCCTGTGGCCAAGTGGTTAAGTTCGTGCGCTCCGCTGCAGGTGGCCCAGTGTTTTGTTGGTTTGAATCCTGGGTGCGGGACATGGCACTGCTCATCAAACCATTCTGAGGCAGCGTCCCACATGCCACAACTAGAAGGACCCACAGCAAAGAACATACAACTATGTATTGGGGGGCTTTGGGGAGAAAAAGGAAAAAATAAAATCTTTAATAAAAAAAAAAATCACAACCAAGTGGGATTCATCCCAGGAAAGCAAGGATGGTTCAATACAATTTACTGTATTAAAATCTTAAGTTAAAAAGTCATATGCACATCCTCAAACACGGAAAGGGCAACTGACAAAATTCAGCACGCATTCGTGATTATAAAAAAAAAAATCACCAGGAAATGATAAATTTATCTTCAGCCAGCATGTTACTTAATGGAAACTTGCTTTCCCACTAAAGTCAGGAACGAGACAAAATTGTCCACTTGCCACTACGACTTGGTGAGCGATGAGAGGGCTGGCCACTGCAACGAGACGAAAGGAAGCAATTCAAGAAACCACAACTGGAAAGGAAGAAGTAAAACCATGTCTGTTTGCAGACGATGTGATTACATTTCTGGAAAACCCAAAAAAATCAACAGATAAACTAGTACAGACTTGAGAGAATTCGATAAGGTAACTGGATATAGCATTAACATACGGGAGTCAATAGCCTACAAGAGTACAAAAATCCCCACTTAGAAATAAAGAAGAAGGCCCCATTTATACAGCAACAAAAATAAAGTATAAGATACTCAGGCAAAACTTTTCCAAAAATGTGCAAAGTCTTAAGGAAGATCTTTAAGGAAAACTTCAATAAAATATTCCTAAGTGACTCAAAAGGGGACTTGAACGAAAAGATGATATAAATGTTCTTGGGTTAGGAAGACGACATTATATAGGGGCCGAGTCTTCCTAAATTAGTTGATGATTTCAGTGTGACCCAAATGTGATAACATATATTTAGTGGATTTGGGTTGATTCTAACATTCATATACAAAAATAAATAAGCAGGAATGGCCAGGAGAACCTAGGCAAGAAATACAGCCGTGGGCAGTGGGGCGGGGAGGGGGCATTCAACCCTACCAGATAGAACCTAATGAAGCCGCCATAATTAAAACAGCAGTGCACGAGTGGACAGACAGACCCCTGGAACAGAAGGGAAAGTGCAGAAATAGACCCGAGTGATTATGGAAAGTTGGTGTATGGCTAGGGTGACGTCGCAAGTCAATGGAGAAAGGACAGACTTCATCTAAATGATGCTGGGACAACTGGACCACAATTTGGGAAAAGATGAAATTGAATCCTTACCTCATTCCAAAAACCAGGATACATTCCAGATGGATCAGAGATCTAAATGTAAGAAAGAAGACCATCCAAGTACTAAAGAAACCGTGGATGAATTCCCTTCTAACTTAAGACTGGAAAAATTGCAACCTGTATCGAAAACGGCTAATATCCCTAATAGATAAAGAGTTCCTAAAAATCAAGAAGAAACAGACCAAGTTAGGGGGAAAAAATGAGCAAAAGATATCAGAGTGAGTTCCCAGAAAAAGAAAGGAAAATGGCCCCTAAACTTTGGAAAAGATGCTGGACCTCACTCATAGCAAGAGAAAGGCCCATTTCAAACAATCTTGAAAGACCATTTCACACCTAAGCAGGCTGACACAAACCAGAAGTTTCGCAGCACCCTCGTGGGTGTGGCTGTGAGGAAATGGGCACTTTCGTCCCTTGCTGGTGGCAATGCAGAATGAAGAGGAGTGCGGTGCTATCTAGCAAAACCATCTATGCATCTCTCTCATCAGCCATGCCACTCCTACGAACCCATCCTACAGATGCTAGCAAAAATAGGAGACACCATGCGAAGGTTCGTTAGTGCGGTGCTGGCCGTGATGGCAAAAGACTGCAGACAGCTTACTGTCTGTCATTAAGGTGTCCAACAACGTACACGGCCACACAATGGAATACTAGCTGTAAAAAGGAACGAGGGCATCTCTTGATGCTGGTATGAGGCCTTCAGGATATGTTGTAGTTAAAAAAAAAAAGGGAAGACAAGTATATATAGAATGCTAGTTTTTGTGTGAGAAGGAAGGTCATACACACACACACACACCTGCTTTATATTTGCAAAAAGAAACACCAGAAGGACAAACCAGAAACGAACGAGCATGGTTGCCTATGGGGAAAGGAGGGGACAATTTGGGACAGGGACGATGGAGACAAGCTCTCTCTGGACATCCCTTTTTCTGTGGCTTTGACTTTGGAATCACGCTTAATATCAAAAACCAAACGGAAACGACTGTGTGTCAATGTCATACCACAGCTACACAGAGAAGAGAATTATTTCAAGCGACCTGGTGTTTTTATTATCCATCCACAGTGAGACCTATTATAAGAACAGCCAGAGCTGCGAAGAAATCTTAAACTTCCTTCCGTAGTTTGACTTTCAGGAGTTAATACTGACCTATTATTTGGAAACCGTTTTGCATCTAATGGAAAAATGCAAATGAGTGTGTTCATGGTTTTAGAAACGAAAATGTTTCGGGAAAGAGAAAAGAGAAGGAAAAACACCGTGATGTGAAGTGTGAACTGGAAATATTCAGTATGAACTTGCGGTTATTTGTTTTTCCTTTCGCAAGTGTGTGTTTCCTAGCTCCGTTCACTGGAAAGGCCTGGAAACGATGACAACCCCAAGAGCAATGAGTAGCCCGGGCACCCACGTTGGAGAAATGGCCAATTCCGGGACTGGGCAGGAAACGTGAAGGGCGGGGATGGGAAGCCTTGAGCCAGAAAGCAAGAGGACAATGAGGACAATGTGAAGAGGGGCTGTGTCTGGAAGGACACAGTGTCAGCCTGAAAGGGTTCCTCTTGGCCAAAGACGTGACAGCTTGAGCAGCAGCAACAACGAGAATACTGCCATTGATTGGAACCCATTAAATAGCGGAAGAAGCACGAGTTCGTAATGAGAGAGAGCGAACAAAATAACAAAATAACGAGCTTCGTTTCACCATCAGAAGTGACTGGGACACTAACTTCTTAGTCTGAACAGCGGCCGTGCAACGGAAGGAGTTAAGCGTTTATCCCACTCAGCTGGAGGAACTGTGTCTCACGATGAGCCAGTGGCTCTCGCCGAGGCAGGGAAGTTCTTTAGGGAAGAATTTCCAGCAAATCAATGTGGAAAACACGATCAGAAGAGAAAATTATAAGTTTGCAACATCAAATGAAATAGCTGATTCAGATCAGCAATGAATGAAACCATGAGGGAAGAGGTCCATGGGGGCATTTTACAGCCGTCACTGTCGGACCCTGTACAGGTTTGCGAGGGCTGTCACAACCAAGTGCCATACACCGGGGGACTCGACAGAAATTCTGTTTTCCCTCAGCCCTGGAGGCTGGAAGTCCGAGATCAAGGTGTCGGCAGGGTTGGTTCCCTCTGACCTCCGAGACCTGTCTCCACGGCGTGTAGAGGGCCACCTCTTCCCTGTGTCCTCACGTGGTCGTCCCTCTGTGCATGTCTGTGTCCTCATCTCTTCTTCTAAGGACACCAGTCAGACTCGGGGGGGACCCACCCTAATGACCTCTTAAACACCTCTTGAAAGACCCATCTCCAAACACAGTCACCTTCTGGGGTCCTGGGATTTAGCGCTTCAACATAAGAATTTGGAGGGACTCCAATCAGTCCACGACAGACCTCTTCCTAGAAGTGTGACAACCGGGCAGATAGGAGCCTCTTGAAATGATGCAATACAAAAAAGTGTCTGATCACAGCAGGCCACACAGCACCGCCAAGCAGGGGACAGACCAAACCATCGAGGAACAGAGAATGTCACAGCCCCACCAGCATCAGAATTGGACAGAAAATGAACTCTGCGAGCACTGTGTCTCCCACCTTCTCAAGTCGGCCACCTGGACCCTGGTGAACATTCAGGGAGCTGATCCTTTTTTTTTTCTTGCTGAGGAAGATTCTCCCTGAGCTAACATCCATGTCCATCTTCCTCTATTTTGTATGTGGGTCGCCGCCACAGCACGGCTGATGAGTGGTGTAGGTCCACGTCTGGGATCTGAATCCGAGAACCCAGACCGCTGAAGCAGAGCATGCCAAACTTAACCACTCCGCCACGAGGCCAGCCCCCGATTCCTCTTAAATAACACATTTGAATACTTGTAAAAAATG